TGTGCTGTGCCAGGTAGCTGTACTCACCTCATGTCCTGGCTGTTATCCCTCAGCTGCGTGCTGATAGCTTGTTGCTTGCCTTCACGGGGATGTAAATACACCATAAACAAAACTCTTCAACCCCTTTCCTCTTCTGGCTGGAGTGTGCTGCATCCCAGGGTGGTTTCTTGGTTTCAAGGGGACTTCTAGGTCATCAGATTAAGGGTTCTTGAAACCTTTTGCTTTCTCAGGGGCATATCCGGAGGTTTGTTTGCTTTGCAAGTACTCCTGTTTCTGGCAAACTGTTACTTGGGTGACACCAGCAGCTTGGTTGTGGTGCCATTGATGGACTAGACTCACAAACTGTCACATAATTAAACTGTCTGATAGTAATAATAGTCCAGCCATGCTTATTCATTTGCTTTCCCCTGGTGCAGCAGAGCCGAGGCCTTTTCATTCTGTCTGCAGCCATAAACATTTGCAGTTCACAATGTTTCATGTCCCACGTTGCTTAGGAAAAATAAACATTTTCCTTTTTTTGTTGCCAATAACAACTAATCCGGAAACAAACCGTCAAGCCCCAGGAGGTAGTGCCTGATGGTGCACGGACTATGGGAAGTGAGTGGAAAGGAATGTCCAACTGTGCAACAGTTGTGTACAACCCCAGGCCCTGCAGCACCTCCCGGTTGGCCTCGCTTGGCTAAAGGTTGGTCTTAACCTTCACATCCACTCTGGCTCTGACTACAGTGGGACCAGACTGTAGCCCAGCAGGAAGGAGCCAGTCCTGTTGCAACAACAGTTTGTGCAAGCAAAGTGTTCACAGAGGGATTGGGAAACTCTGCCCTGTTGAGGGTAGAGGTGGCGAGTAGGATCAATAAATCTGGTGACTCTATCCTTGCCTTTTTTTCCCACTGAGTTTTCCATCTCCAGTAATACTGCCTATGCTCATGCTCAACCCAGTCCAATCAGACCAAAAATGCATCATCTCTGCCCTGAAATGTCAGCTGGACATTAGCACCTTCCAAGTTCATGCAGCGCTGCGCTTTTGGGATGTGACCTGTCTCTATTCTCCCAGACTGGAGTGGAGCGAACTAGTGACTGGGTTACAACTAACTAGAGGCTGTAGCCACACTTTGAAATCCAAACCTGAAAATCTCTCCTGGGCTGAGGAGCAGAATTACCAATCAGGCACAGCACTCTGTGCATCGGAAAACAGCACTGATCTTGGTCAAGAACATTGCAATTTGTCAAGGGATAAAGGGGTGCAGAGTCCCCAAGGGCAGAACCACAAGGCAATGACCAAGAATGGGGCGATGAAACTATCTTGAGAACGGCAGGGGAAGCATCTGCGCTGTCCTTCCATTCACTAAGAGAAAGAGTGCTCTAAGGTGCCTGCAAAAAGCTGTGAGGAAAAAATGCTTCAGTAGTTTGTGGGTTCTTCTAACTAGCCAAACAGGCAGCAATTACCAGGGCCTCACCAAACACACTAGGTAACAGAAGAAGAGAGCAGGGAGAAATGGGAAAGCAGCAGCAAAAAGGACAAGGAGGTGGGAAAAAAACCCAAACACATTAGCTCATTCTCTAGCAGGACAGAAAGCAGCTCCCAACAAAAGGGGCGGTATCTGAGACTGATGGGATTCAAGTTACAGTAGGAACTTGTCTGGTTGCTCTCACCTGCCAGGGAATGGGATTTCCCTCATGTCCCTGCTTCAGGAGCAGGCTGAAGTCCAGGCATGTGACACTGGAGACAGGCTTAAGTGCAGAGCAGGCAATGGAGGATGGAGCCAGGCAGTGGAGCACAGGGACTGGCAAGCCACAGCTCTGCGCCCTCGTGGCTGTGCTGCTGCTGCTCCTGGGAGGCTCTGGAGGCTGAAATGAGGCTGAAGATGCTCCTGGCTGCTCAGGATGGCTGCGACGCTTCCTGCAGAGCTTGGCCAGTGTTCCTGTGGCCTCAGCAGACCCAGAAAGGATGTCTGTTTGTGTCACAGCACTTGAGGGCTGGTAAAGCTGGAGGAAACTGAGTGGGCAGCCGGCATCTCTGCTGTGGCTTCTGCTCTCCCACAGGATTTTTCCTTTCCCTCTGGTTTGCCATTAGCCTTTTGGTCACAAGACTGCTAGGAAGTGTTGCTCCCTTTGTGAAGGGCTGTGGCTGGTCTGAAGTGCAGCGATGCTTCTGGAGGAAGGCTGGCAGATTTCTGGAGACCCTCCTTCTCCCCAGGCTGGCCCCAAGGGATTGCTGGAGGGTGCAACAGCCTCTCTTGTTTTGTTTGTCCGATTCGTCCTCTCTCTTATAGGTGCTTTCCCTATGCACTAGCCCAGCTCCGCACTCAGTTGGTCAAAACTTCCTCTGGGTTGCAGCGCTCTGCCTTTGATTTTGGTCTTTGTTAATCTTTTCCCCTCCAGTGTTGGGTAAGACACCCAGCAGCCAGTGCCTTCCCAGTGCTGCTGCTGGAAGGACAGTGGGTGAGGGGTTGCTGGGGCTGCTGTCTGCTACACAAGCAGCCAGGGTTTAGACCCCCGCTTGGCTCCAGAGGACAGAGCTAGATCTCCCCCACATCTTCCCCCACAGCCCACAGAGTGGGTAGGAGGAGGCAACCTAAGCATGAGACATGTTATCCAAAGCTTGGGAAGGCACTGCAGCAAGGCGTGTCCTGCTAAGGAGGCTGAAATCTCCAGCCTAACAGGTCTCCAGAGCTTTGTTTGGCAAGTGGTTTCTGCCTGTCACATTTCCCTTTACCGGCTGCGCCTGCAGTGGCATTTTCCAGCCCTTTCCTGCCATCGAGCTACAGCCAGTTTGGTGACGACAGGGAGAGACTTGCTGCCCTACCAACTGTTTGTCCAGGGGCACAGCAAGCGCGTGGGGCAGGCGGGCAGATCTAATCTCCTGCCTCCACCCGGAGCCAGTCACAGGGCAACTCTGTGTCCTTCACATGACCACGGTCATGGCAGAGCGCAGGAGCCGGGAGGCTTCTGCCCAAAACAAAATACGGTTTGGACACATGTAAGTTGTGGTTCACGCCAGTGGCCTCCTGTTCACTAAGAGGAGAAACAAAACTTACCTTCTGCCACTGAACATGGGTGTTCTCCAGGTAGAAAGGAAACAAGCCGCTCTTCCCCTCTCTGACCCAGCTCAGAGGAAGATTATGGTCCCAAACTTGTGCCAGTGTCCCCAGTCATGAAGACAATAATAGGCCTTTCTGGGAGATCCACTGGTCCTTCCAGCAACCCAGGAATGTTCTTAACATAGTTGAGACAAAAAGCCAGCTATCTGGGTCACTCCCGCCCACCTGCCTACCTGTGTGATTCCTTGAGGACTTCACAGTGCTCCCAGCTCCACAGCAAGGGTTCTCCCCAGGATCCATCTCTGCTCCTGCTGCTTGTGTGCCTTGGCATGGCTGGCCAGCATCTCCTGCTCCTGGGAACCCAGACACATTCATTACCTGATGTCCCCTGGGTGGCAGGTCCTGCTTTGAGTAGTGGCAAGTGCTCATTCATGGCAGTGAGTGTGTAGTGAATACTAGAAAGCGCCTTCGGACTGGACTCCAGGGAAAAGCACCAGCAAGATCAGCTGCCATCATGCACTCAGCAGCGTCTCACCAGGGCTGAGAGCAAGACACTGGCCAGGACATGGACCTTATGAGCTCCTCATGCCTCTTGCAGCCATGAGCTGCTAGCCCAGGCAGCGTGCCAGACAGCTCTCAAAGAGCTCCTGTTAGAAAAACAGGTATCTCCAACTCGGCTGGGCTCCAATTTTCACCAGCAGCAGTGTGGTACTCGCCTTGGACAGGCTACCCCTCCCACCCTCCTTTGATCAAAGCATTAGATAGATTCTCAGTGCCACAGCTGGTGGGCTATGTAAGCTTTGTTATACAGCACTTAAAATGGCTTTTGCTCTTTGGAGGGCAGATGGTGCAATTCTTGTGGTGCATCAAAGTGCACCATAGACACCCAGAGCAGGTTGATGCAGGGCCTGGTTTCTGAGGCAAAGGATAGCAAGGGGTGAGAGCTGCCAAGAAACAGGGGGTGTGACTGGCTGGGAAGGACAAGGCAGCAGGCTGCAGTGGTGACAGAATAAGCCAGACACCTAAAATGCACCTTGCGTGACCTGCCTGGTTCTTGTGTCCATCCATGCATTGCTCAAAGGCACAGGGCCGCTGCAGGGAGGGCAGCATGATAGTGGAATTAATGCCAAGGGCTTCACACTTCATTCCTGTCCGCATGAATGGGCTCATTGTGGGGGAACAGTGCGACAGCAACATGCAGATTACACGGCATCATGGAAGTGCTGGCATCACGCCAGCCTGGCGAAGCAGGAAGGGAAACTGCCCTGGAAGATGAAGCTCTTTGCAAGGATAGGAAGGGTATCATCTCTCTGGAGCCCTGCTGGATGGCAGCCCATCTCTCAGGATAGAGATGCGTCATTGACTCCACCGCATGCTCAAACACCTTTCAACTTGACTGCACAGAATGAGGTGATGAATTCTGCACTTGGACCTTTGTCTTGTGCAGCCTGGTTACTTGGGGAGCTACACACTCTTATCCCTTTTACTTCACGGCAGACTGTGAATTTAGTTTGGGTCAAGCCTTGTGGCGACCCTGTGCCCCATAACCCTCCTGTCATGTGGAACCTGGGACAGTGCCCCTTATCAGTGTGTTTCCCCAGGGGAAAGTCACCACTGCCTATGTCCCGGCTCCAGGCCAACCCCCAGTTCTGTCAACATGTACACATGCTAAGGGACTGTTCAGCAAGCCTGGACAGCAAGGGGATGTCATCGGAGGGAAAATGGGGCACAACTGTGTGCTGGGGAGCTAATGGCTTCCCCCCATAAGCATCTTCCCTGCCCAGGGCCAGGGTGGAAGAGAGGTTAAAAGGATGTGGGGTAAAGGGAGAGAGTTTACTCCCTAGAGAATTCTTTCTTTTTTGGAGGGTCTGGTTCTCATCCACAATTTGCAAAAGCATTTCCTGCCGGCCAGCTGCCAAAGAAGACTGGACCAAAATAGAGCAGTGCTCAGGGAATGCCATGGCCTTGCATGCTGCCTCCCAGGTGAACACTGGCCTGTGTTCAGGTGGCGGAGCAGAGCCCAGGGCCACCACTAGAGACAGGGAGCAGAGGCTCTTTGTGGGGACGTGCCCACGGCAGGGTGGGGTGGCCCCACAGACAGGTGGAACTCACCGCTGCAGGACGGCTATGGAGAGACACCTGCCACTCTGCACCAGGAGTCCCCGTCCAGACACTGAAGCCTTTTCCTCTTCTCTTTCAGGATGTGTCTCGAAAACACCACGCCTGGAAGGAGCAGAGTCCCTGGCTTTCTTCCTTGGTGAACGTTGTGGGGACTGGGGTGCCCACCAAGGACTTCCCCGCGGGCGCTGAGGAGCCGGCAGCAGGCTGGAACCCACCCCGCTGCGGCGTGCCCGACCTCCCGACGCTGCCCGACGGCCAGAGCGGGCGCAATCGGCAGAAGCGGTTTGTCCTCTCAGGCGGGCGCTGGGACAAGACCGATCTCACCTACAAGTAAGAGAGGCCCAAACGGGGCATTAGGCTTCTGTGGTTACCTCTCTGCAAAGCTCTCTGCACAGACTGCCCAGCTCTTGCGTTGTCCCCCAGCAACCCCACATCAGTGCCACCCCTCACCCCACCGTGTTCACTTCCCTACATCGAACCCCTGACATGTGCAGGACCTCCCCTGGCCGTTCCTGCTGCGCCTTGGCTCCTCCCAGCCGCCAGTCTGGGAGCTCTCTGTTTGTTTTAAATAGCCCCTTTTATTCTGCTGTTCCTGACATTCCCATAAACACCACCTCAGGGTAAAGTTTTGCCCAAATCACCCCACACATTTTCACACATGAATTTTCAGGATACACTTAAGGCAGGATAGGCCGCTGTCTCCCTAATTGCCTGCAGGAGTGGAGAAGTGAGCACCTTCGTATGTTCTTTGACAGCATTTCAATCATGGTATACTTAATTAAGTGCAGGAGAGTCTTTCCTCATAGCCTTGAAAGGCCATAGGTAACAGAAAGGCTTTTTCCTTTGGTCAACAGTCTTAAAGAAAGAAAGAGGGCTGAGATGAACACATGCCAACATTGTTATCTGAAGGGAATGGAAACCCCCTCTGTAACAGCCCGTAGTCGGGCTGTAACAGCCCGAGCATGTAACAGCCATCAGCTGCTCTGAGCAGCCCAGCTCTCCAGGGGCAAAAAAAGATGCCCTTAGAGCAAAATTTCAGAAGGAAAAAAATGACATCACACCATTCCCATGTACCTCTGTGGGCATGGACTTGGGAGGCACAGACCTGGGAAATGCAGCACTTCAGTAAAACATAGATCTTCCACAAAGTTATCTGGAAACAGCATCACAAGGTTTGTAGTCAAGTGCATAAAATTGCACAAGAGGGTGACAGCCCTGTCACCATGGGAGCACTGTGGTTTCTAAAAGTCACTATCTAGTTGGGTCCTCACAGAGACAGCAGCTCCATCCATAAGAGACCACTAGATGAAATTATGAGTTGGTATCAAAGCCAGCAAAAGGGCAGGGTGACCATTTGCCACAGACTCCCTCTCCAGTGCGCTCCACAGTGATGAGGATACATTTCCCAGAAAGGGGCCACCTTTCCATCCAAGACCTTGGCACCTTTATGGGTCCCCTCAGCAGTGATAACAGTGCAGTGCTGCTGGCCATATCAGGCCAGGCCAGTGGTGGCTGTTCAGAGGATTGGTCTGGAGAAGCCCCCTCTGGGCCCACCAGCAAGAGGGGTCCAGCACCGATGGGATTTATCTGCTGTGTATGTTGCTTGGATGCAGCTGCTGGAGCAGTGCCTCTGTGCACTGGGGACGGAGATGGGCTACCCTAATGCCACTGATCCTACATCTGGTGTCCTCATGGCAGTAGTGCCTGTCCTCATCCGGTGCCTGTTGCCTTTCAGAATTATTAGGTTCCCATGGCAACTGGTAAAAGCCAAAGTGAGGCGGACCATTGAGGAAGCTTTAAAAGTGTGGAGCGATGTGACCCCGCTGACCTTCAGCGAGGTGCAGGAGGGCCGCGCGGACATCGTCATCGACTTCACCAGGTGAGCGTGGTGGGCAGCGACCCTCGCCTGGCGCAGCCGCAGCCCTGCCCACAGCATCCCTAGGCCTTTACAAGGGCAGAGTGGACTGTCACCACGTGACTGAGACACTTACATGGAGGCTCACGTTGCCACTTTCAGACTTTAGGATCTTTCTGTCAGTTGAGGGCTGCTTGATGAAAATACAGCAGCTCCATGCAGGCTGTGCACAGCACCATTACTCCATTTCCAAGAATGTTTATGTTTCTCTGCCCTACGATTGTTTTCCTAAGTCTTGTCCTGACTTAACATCTTCAGGTTCTCCATCCTGTCGCTTGACTGGACGAGCTAAATGTCTGGCCCAGGACAAATATAGTTTCTTAATGAATCTTGGCTCCCAGCCTAAAATTCTGTTTTGGCAAAATAGTCACTGGGGCTATTTTCCCTCTGCTCCTGTTTGCACAAAGCTAGTAACAGCAGTGCGGATTGTCTGAGCAGTGGTGGGATTTGCATTCTCTGTAGTTGCTCATGCCCCCTCACATCTCTGAAGTGTTCCCACCTCTCATGGGTTTCCCTAACCATCAGCAGCAGGCTTGGACCGAGTGTGGACCTGAGGATTTGGCCGTGTTCTCCGCTGGCTGCCTCTCCACATCCCACTGCTGTTCAGCTATGCTGACTTAATCTTGGCTCAGGCAGTCACTTCCGTAATTATTTAGGCTCCATGGTCAGCCTTTTGAAAGCTGAACGAGGGAGGAGAGAAACCTCCATGAGAAAAGCATAAAAACTCCCCAGGGCTTCCTGTGCCTGAGTTCTGCCTCCTTGGTCCCCCAGTGCAGAACCAGATGAGCAGCAATCAGTGCTGACTGTTGGGGTGAGCTTGTAACAAGAGCGAGATCTCCTGTCCCCTCATGGTGGCTTCAGACCTTGGGCCATAGGATGCTGTTCATCTGAGGTACCACACTGTTCAGCTGAGATGCAATGTGTTTCCCTGCAGGTATTGGCATGGAGATAACCTGCCTTTTGATGGGCCCGGAGGGATCCTGGCACACGCTTTCTTCCCCAAGACCCATCGCGAAGGAGATGTCCATTTTGACTATGATGAGACCTGGACTATTGGGAACAACCTGGGTACGGTACTGTTTCAGAGGGAGCTGAGGACACTACAGGATGGATATCAGTGCACTTAGAAATGATTTAACTGTGATGTGAGCAGGGCCCCTGTAAAACTCAAAGGCAACAGTCATTTTTATGTGGTACGTGTCCCTCCCACTGCTTTCAAGTCCATCTGCATTCAGTCTTTCCTTATCACCTTTCAGCCACAGCAAAGTTTGTGTCAAGCACAAGCAGCTTGATTTCCCAGGGGTGTAAAGGGGGAGAGGCCGCTCCTCTGCTAAGAATATGTCCCACCATTCAGGAACTGCACTCAGCACTGGTGGGAAACATCAGAAATAAAAGAGGGAAGGGATGGAAGAAAACTGGGGCTCAGGCACCAGGTGATGCATCCATCTTCCAAAGGACAGCAGAGCAATGAGGTCTCAGTCCCATCCCTGCACGCATTGCACAAGCCTGCCTGCAAAGCCTTTTCTCCTTGAACAAGTCCATAAAGGGAAACCAGCTAGGCTTCGGGTCTCTGACTGTAGCCTGGGAATGCTCTGACCATAAACACCACCACATTGAATCAAAAATTACTTTTTATTTTTTTCCTCCTGCTAATAATAGATCCTGGCTGGTGGCTTTCTGCTTGGGCACTGGGGGCCTGGCGTCACGCTATCTCATGAGATACTGCAGTACTGCCTGGAAACACCTGGATCAGTGCCCAAAGTACCCACTTCTGCTAAGAGCCACCCAAATTCACCCGGGTCAAGCCCTCCTCCTTCTTCCCAGTTAATCTACAGGGAACAAGAAACAACCACAAAGCCTAAGACAAAGCCCTGTCCCTCTGGGGATTCCCAAATATTTTGTCCATACCAACATTCAAGGCTCAGATAGTCCTCTCTTTCCCCGCTGCTGCAACTCCATTTCCATGCCAGCTCTATGCCAAGTCAGATCCTATGCATGGGGGGATAGAAATGTCATGTCTCCAACCCTCCCTTATGCCAACTCAAAACAAGAATCATGAAGCACCTGATCTTTCTGACCATCTCTCACTTAGGGAGTTTTTTACCCCTTGTTGGGGCTGCCTTTGCTTGAAGATTTTCTCCCACAAGAACAGCATTTGGTGGCAAATTGGGAACTGCAAAACACATGTCCGCTCCTATCAGGCCCTATTCTGCAGCCTTTTCCCCTGCCTCTGTGTCTTCCACAAAAAAAAGGTAGTAAAAGCTCTTTAAATGGCAGGTAATTGCCATTTAATATGCTGAAAAGAGCTTTATAATATAAACACAGGTTAATCCTTGTCTCAGCACTCAGTGTGACAGAGAAATCCTTAGCCGCATTTTGCAGAGGGACAAGCAGAACTAGGAGTGCAGGGTGAGCCTTGAGGCCACCCCAGAGGCAGGCACAAAGCAGGACCCCAAGGGGGCCCTCCCAGCACCCTGTGCTTGCAGCCCTGCTGTTTTCAGCTCCCTCCGAGAAGCTGACAACAGCACTGCAGATCTGCCAACACTGGAAAGCATCAAGCGAGGAGCCTGCCAAGCTAAACAAGTGTCTTGAAAGTTTGTAATAAATCACTGATGTAGAAATCCCGTATTCTCAGATGACCTAGAATGTGGTTGACTTAATTGTGTCAGTGCCGTAGAAATTCATCACTTTGACGTAACATTAATCAGCAGAGGAAGCCAGAGTCTCACCTTCCCCTCGGTCCTTTCCAGGGGTTGTTCCCAACAGCTTCCCCCCAGACCCTGTGCTGAGAAGTGACCTGCCTCTCTGGAGCCAACAGGGATAGCCTGCTTGGAGCAGCAAGATAAGCTGACACATACCAGCCCTTCTCATCACTTGGGCTGCAGCTTGGATGATTTCTACTTGAAGCCAAGTGAACGAATATGCTGGGGCTTGTCAACAAACCTCTGGCCTCTGTTCACAAGCTTTGCTTCTTATTATGCCTCCTTTCTAGAATTTAATGGCATCAAAAAAGATCCATTGGAAGCTAAATAACATCTGCCAAATTAAGTATTTTGCATACTGAAATCTCTTTATTCCCCCTCGCCTTTTGAAGATGTTCTCAGGTCATGTATTTCTAAAATACAATCTCCCATACATCTGCTCAAGTCCAGTGAAGAAAAGCCAGGTCTTAGAGGAATTTGTATGGACTCACTTTTAAATGCCACCTTCTTGCTACAGTTGCTCACACAAGCAATAAATGAGCTCCCTCTGCTGTCTGTGTGACAAGTGTAGATCTCAGTGGTCCCTCACTGATGCCCATCTCAGACAGGCAGGTAATAACATCTCCCATCTCTTCCCTTTTTAGGCACCGACCTCCTCCAAGTGGCTGCTCATGAGTTTGGCCATGTGCTTGGCCTGCAGCACACGGCTGTCTCCAAGTCGCTGATGTCTCCTTTCTACATTTTCCGCTACCCGCTCAGCCTGAGTGAGGATGATAAACAAGGTATCCAGTACCTCTATGGGAAACCCAAACTTGATCCCAACCCAACCCCAACCCAGCCAGCAGAGCCACCCCAGCCAGACCTTGAAACAAATGAGATCACCAATGTGGAGGTGAGTGAACAGCTTGTCCTCTCCTAGCACCATGAGTGCATTGGTTTGTTCCTAGCTGCTGCAGCTGTGCTCACCTGACACTATCAGTAGGCTCATGTGTGGTTTTAGCCTGTGTTTTCCACCCATACCGCTGTGTTCAGGCAGAGCAGAGCCCAAGTACTCCCCACATTCTGCCAAGTAGCCAGACCATGCCCAGGTCAAGCCCAACTGCCAGCTAGAGCTGGGATGTGCAAGGCTGGTCTTTGGCAATGCTAGTCCAACCAAAACCTGGTCGAAACCAGAACACCTGCCCAAGGGACCCATGCAGTTTTGCAGCCGTGGAGCTGTTTGACCACTCCTGTAGTGGGTGCTGTAGTGGGTGCTGTAAGTGGGTGCTGTAAGTCACAGAGGACAGGGATCCTGCTGTTTAAACCTCCTTTCACCTAGTCATGCCTGAGATCTCCTCCTCCAAGGAAGGTCACTAAAAAACAAATTAAGAAAAGACACTGCTCCAAGGAGCACAGGGTGCCTGTAGCTTTTGCTGATGAGATACTGGCAGGATGCAGAATCTTTCAGAGCTGGGGTTGTGGGGAAGAGAAGCCTGGACACCGGGATATGCTGTCAGTTGAACCCAGCCAGGCAAGGGGGGTTTCTCTGAACCCAGATGCCTGACCAGGCTGTGCTTTGGCAGTCTGTGCAGCCCGACGCCTGCAGCACAGATTTCGATGCCGTGTCCACCATCCGGGGTGAGCTGTTCTTCTTCAAGTCCCGCTTTGTGTGGCGGCTGCGAGCTGGCAAACTGCAGGCCGGCTACCCCGCTCTGGCCTCTCGTCACTGGCAGGGGATCCCCAGCTCCATCGATGCCGCCTTTGAGGACCCTATGGGCAATATCTGGTTTTTCCAAGGTAAGACTTAGATGGGGATCGGGGGCTTGAAAAAGCGTCTTTATTGAGGGCTATTCAGAACCCAACGAGCTCCCACAAGAAACCAACTCTGGACACCAATGATCTTTTGTATTTTTTTCCTTCTCTGTTTTACCATTTAGCAGATATTGAGGGGTATAGAGAAGGAAGAATCACTTATATTTTAGACACAGCCAGGATATTTTCCACCTTTAGAAAAAGGACAGTTGTTTTCTTTGATCCTCTGTATCCCAGCAAAGCTGCTGGCAGCAGAGGACAAAGGAAATGCTTGCTCTCCCTAGGGATGGAAACACGAGGAAGAAAAAGGCAGGTTCATTGCCATTCCCAGTCACCAAGAATTAGTGATCAGCTCAGGTATCACAGAAAAGAGTAGTGCATCTCTCTCCGTCTAAGGGCTTATCCAGGACACACAGTTCAAAATGCATTCTGATGTTTTACAGAATGCATTTTCATGATGCTGTTGGTTCAACTATGGGAATAGAAAGGTTTTCCTGCAACGGAGTCCTGTGCAAGAAGTAGGCCACTGCACCTCCAGCAGCCCCAGGCTCAAGGAAGATGGGAACCAACACCACTATTAGATTTCTAAAAGCTCCATCATCTGCTCTCAGTTCCCTGGAAAGCATTGTGCAAAAAAGAGGCCCAAGACATAGCTTCACAGGTTGCCTCACCTCCTGAGCCTGTACTACAGAGATCCTGCACGCGATCTTTCCTGCTTCTCAGGGGTCTAGACACATTGCTCCAAGGCTGAAATAGCCTGTGTGCAGAGCCAGGCAATCCCCAGTCACTGTGCAGGTTAAAAAACAATCACTTACGGAGGAGCCAAACCTTCTCCTAGCCATTTCTGGAGCCCCAAACCAGCAATAGTGCCTGTTCCAGCTTCACTGTTTTCTTTAGTGCTTCCTCCTGTGTAGATTTAACAGAAAGGATGCAGGATTACGTCGCTAGGAGCTGCCCTGCGCAGGCATGCCCCTCTGTACACTGTGAGATCATGTACCAGAGAACTCACCGAGCAGCTCTGCAGGCATTGTTATTGCATAAGCAGATTACTTTGCACCTGACCTGCAGACAAGGTTTTACAGTGCTAAATTTGGCAGCTCCTACCATGAGTTAAAACGAGATAAGGGAATAGTATTACATACTGTAGGGTAATTACAGAGATTCCCACTTTAATCTAAACTGGAAATATGTTTCTAGTCTCTCTTTTAGTTTGGCAACCTCTTGCTGGTTTATGTAGCTCGCTCTTTTAGAGCCATGTGTCCCCCTTATGCCTGTGCATGCCCACAGATGTTCTCTAAGAGCAGGGCTTGGTAAGTGCAGGTCCCTCCCAGTCCATCCCATGCACAGATGGAGTACAAGGGATACAAGGGATGCATCCGCTCTCCAGGCAGAGCACAATCTGTTTTTCCTTCTTTCCCCCCACCCATCAGCCCAGGGCTTCACAACATAGGTGTCATAGGAATCAACCTTCACCCCGTCAATCTCCATGGCTTTGTGAATTGTTTTATCCAGCAACAGGTTCTGATCCTCCCTCCACTAACTAGAGCAAGCTCAAAGCTCATGGCTTTGATCCATTGCCTAAATGCCTACTTGAAAACTAAAACCAGGCCCAGCTGACTGGAGCAGCTTGAGAGAAATACGTCCTTTCATATGTGCACAGAGCTCTCCACAGCATTAAGTTGATGAGAAAACAGGCTGGGCAGCTGGACAGCTCAAGTGCAAAGCCAAATTATTTTATAATAACTTCTACAAATAAAGACAAGACAGCTGGTAAATCACTCTGCTTTATACCACCCACTGACACCCTCTGGGTTGGACAGAGGTGGGAATTCAGTCTGTGCTCCTAGTGCTTCAAATGCCTGTTGGTGACAGGATCCGTGACAGTAGTAATATTTTTCCGCTTTCCATGGAAGCTCACCGGCATCACCTCCAGTTCCACAGGTCAGTGCCAAGTTATCAGACACTAAATATTTTCTGAGCTTTTCTCCCTTTTCTGTCTCCTTGCCAGACTCTCAATACTGGATTTACGAAGGCGAAAGGCGAGTTTCTGGCCCCACCTCTATTGCGGAGCTGGGCCTCCCTGCCTCTCCTGTCCAGGCAGCTTTGGTGTGGGGGGCTGAGAAGAACAAGATCTACATCTTCAGTAGAGGCAACTACTGGCGCTTCAACCCTCATACCCGTCAGGTGGATAACATCTACCCTCGGACCATGGCCGACTGGCGTGGCGTTCCTCAGGAAATTGATGCTGCTTTTCAGGATGAGTTTGGTCAGTGCCAGCAGGCACAAGGTCTGCTCTGGGGTGGACTTTTGGGCTGGCCCAGATGGAAGAACTGAGCAGATTTAGATGCTCAGTAACAAGGGACACTCTCCAGCCATTCCTGGACATGGTGGAATAGCTCATCCATGCTTCCAGCATTGACTTAAATCCCAGAGAAATTGCCCTCTGGTAACAGGTACTCTTTAGTGGGTCTGAAGATTCTGTGGAGTATCAGCAAAACAAAATGCTAGGAAAGAGCTCCGAGCTGTGTGGGTCTTGTCTTTCCTAATCCTTTATCTCCTATCCACAGGTTTTGCCTATTTCCTGAGAGGCCAAAACTACTGGAAATTTGACCCGGTGCAGGTTAAAGTGCTGGACGGCTACCCACGCCAGATCAGCCAGGACTTCTTCAGCTGCACACCTGCCTCCAACTCCTTCAGATGAGCAGGGGTGCTCACATCCTCCACATTTCCCTCTCATCTCCCTTATCTCCAGCAGCCACCCAGAAACAGGGCTCCCACAGCCATTCTTGGCTCCCTTTAAGCCTCAGCATCTGACACAACTGGTGTTTGTCACAAGTGACAAAGGCTGCTTCTCTCCAGGTCTACCAGTCCCAACTTCAGTTGCTATCAAAGCAAAGGGGCTGGTACGTTCTCTACAGACAGAGGGGCCACTAAATCCCTAACGTGGCCAGGCTCTTCCAGCAATAGCATCCCCAGAGAGCTTGAGTAAAGCTGAAATGGGGTCAAGTTTTCCTAATTAACCCAGGCCCTATCATGTTAAACGGTTCTGGTGGTATTTCCGATGTTTACATTGCTCACAGCAGCATCCCATTTACTGTTCCGGCCCTCAGCCTCGGAGGGAGGATTCCACCGAGACGCTTTCTCACTCTTAGCCAGGGAGTTTTCAGGACATTGACTGCCTATGGAGAAACCCAGACGTGTGGCTATGTCACCAGGGTGGCTTCACCGTGGTGGCAACGGTGAACACTCACACCCTGTCACAGCCCTACTCCTCATTTTATGTTGCACCACTAGTCTACATTAGAATTTTATACAGTTTTGTAAATAAACAAAGTGCCTCCTTCCTTGCAAGGTGCTAGGCTGCAGTGCTGGCCGCTGCCCTGGTGCTCCAAAAGTTCTCCTTACCTTCGGCTCCCGATATTAGGTGCCTGCACTGACTGCGCTGTGCCGCTTCCAGCAGACAGGTCCAGCTGGACACCACTCCGGCTGCACACAAGCTCAACTCCTTGCACATGCTACACCACGGCATGCAAAGAAAGAGGGAAAAGGGCTTGTAACCGGGGCCTGCCTTGAAACCGGCCACACGACTCGCCCTCCCTGGGACAAACCGAGCCCAGGCCCGGGCTCCCCGCGCGCCGCTCCCTCCCACGTTATACCTATATATATATATATATATATATACTGTGTATATATTTATGTGCTGTGCTCTACCAATAAACCGGCCTGCTGCCCGAGCCTGCCCTGTCTCTCCATCGCACCTCAGTGCGCGACCGTTAGCGACCGTTAACGGCCGCCACGGGTGGCCCCGCCCCTCCGCGGGAAGGGGAGGGGGCGGTGCGCGGCGCGCGGCGGCGGGGCGCGGCGGCGCATGCGCGGGGCGGCGCCCGGACTAGGCCGCGGCGCTGCCCGTCGTTGCCGCCCTCGTTGCCGCCCGCTCCCGCTCCGCTCCGCGGGCGCCGCCGCCGCCACCATGATGATGATGGCGCTGAGCAAAACCTTCGGGCAGAAGCCCGTCAAGTTCCAGCTGGAGGAGGACGGCGAGTTCTACATGATCGGCTCCGAGGTGCGGCGGCGCGGCCCCGCGCACAATGGGCCCGGGCGGGGCCGGGGGGCCGCGGGCGGCCCGGGGGGGCCGCGGGCGCTCGGGGGGGCTGGGATGGGATTGGGTATGAAGGGGGGGGTCGGGCTGCGGGGAGCGACAGGGCCCTGGCGGGGGGACATGGGCTGACTGCGGAGCTGTGGGGCCCGCAGGGACCTGCGGGAGGGGGCAGGTGTGGGGGCTGCACTTGGGGGGCGCGGGGAGCTGGGGGGCAGCGTGGGGAGCTGGGCTCGGTGGGGCCGCCTGCGAGCCCCCCGGCGGGGGTGTCCCCGGGGGGGCCCCTGCCCCCTTTGATCGCCAGGCGATGCGGCGGCAGGCCTGGGCGCAGCCCTCGGTGCGGGCGGGACCCCCAAGGGGCAGAGCTGCTTTGGGGGTTGCACTTAGTCTGGGGGGGGATCCCTGGCAGCGCCGCGAGCCCGGCGGGGTTGGAGTTGATCCCCGCGCCGGGCTCTGGGCCTCGGCGGTGGGCCCAGGCCATGTCTGCATGGAGGGGAGGGGAGAGCGCTGGAGCTGGAGAGCAGGGGGCTTTGGTGGTGTCCTGTGGAGCACTGACCATTGACGCAGCAGCTGGAGCAGAGCAAACACTACACTGCTCGAAAAGGCATGAAAATGGAGTTTTCCTATTAAACGGATTGCTGTCAACGGATGGGAGTTTTTGCTTCTCAGGCTAGTGAAATAAATGCTGGTGAAAGCTTCTCTGTTGCTACAAAGAATATGGTGTTACAAGAATATTTCAGCAAAAACAAGAGAAAAAAATCCTTTTTAGGTGTCCTGGATGTTAATACAAAGTCCTGATTTTGCTGCAGGTTCTGCTAAAGGTTTTTCTAGATGGAGCATTTTTCCAGGCCACATCTCCCCGTTTCTCCCTGCAGGTGGGGAATTATCTGCGTATGTTCCGGGGTTCCCTGTACAAGAGGTACCCGTCGCTGTGGAGGCGACTCGCCACAGTGGAGGAGAGGAAGAAGATAGTGGCATCTTCCCATGGTAAGGAGACACATAAATATCCCCAGCACTGAAGCCTGGAGAATTGCCGTGGAAAATGGGGTCCGGATTTTGGGAAGCTCGTGTCTCCGTAGGGCTATGCAGATCCTTCAGGTGGCTTCAGCGAGGGGGACTCAGCAGCGAAGGCACAAGCAGTTTCTGGCCTGCAACCTGATGTGACCAAACATGTTCTAAAATCAAATGCCCATTGTGGCTTTTCTGGGGCCAGCCCCCTTTATCACAAAGCAAAAGCCATCGCAGAAGGGGATTTTATGCTGTGCTGTTGACAAAGGCAGGGACACTGTTGTACCTTTTGTCACACTGTCAGGGATGTTACCAAGATGTCCTGTTGAAAATGCGAGCCTTTACTTAACCTTCCTTGCGGAGAGTGAATATTTATGACTGGTGGTGCTACTGATGTAGTTGTTGCAGTGAGAATTCTGCTGTCTCAGGGTTATTCTTTATGAGCAACTAATAACAAGAAGTTAAAATTCTTAGCAGAATAACCTGTTGTAAACTCTTCGGAGCATAATAAAAATGATTCATTATGGACTTAATGTCTCCTTCCTCTAAGTATCCTGCTGACTCGCTGCTTTTTTCTTTTTTCTCCAACAGAAAATCAGCGATCTCACAGTCCCAGGAGATGTAAGTCTTATCTGTGTGTTATTTTTGGTTTTGCTGGAGAAAGCAACCTTTGGTGCTTTTAAAATATATACTGATGTCTAATCCTCTTCCTCTAATCATTTTGTGGTCGCCCTAATTGCGCATGCTGATCATATGCTTAACTTTTCCATCCCAGAACACTATGGGCTCTCCAAGTACACACAGTCCCTGCAGTTCAGCCACTTCTGTCTCAAGGTTTTTCCCTCTTCCCCAAGTCTTCTTAGTTTGTGCTCCTTTGCTGAAGAAGACTTAGCTTTCACTAATATCTGATGGGTCTGTTCAGCCACTCAGTTTTGGGTTTATTGTTGCCTCTCTATTTCAAACCTTTGAGCAAACTGAGGATCTTTTATTTCCTGGACCTTTTCAACCAGAAAGGCTGTGGAAGAGATTTAACCTCAGGAGTACAGAGCTAAATCATATGATTTCCCATATTAGATTTAATGCTTATCTAATACTTTATAAGGATCCAAGGACTTTTATTTCTGTAGTTTTTGTTTTTGCCAGCATTGCTTTCTATCTTAGGTAAATTTCATAATCTCCCCTTCTCCCAAAGGAAGTCAGGCTTGTTTTTTTCTGTTATGTGGATGTCAAAATTAGATTGTATTTTAAGTGCCACAAAAACAGCTGGCTCTTTAGTTACTGCAGTGCAATTAATCTCCAAGTAGCAGAGCATTCTGGTGTGTGAGGGAGAGTGAGGACAATGCAGAAATGTCAGTAGAAAGTGATCTCTCTTTATTCCACATGTTCAGAATGCTTTCTTAAAATCTCCTGCTAAAATTCAGCATCTACAAGAGAATGATTGAAATCCAGAGCACTTTGGGGGGATATATTCACCACAGCTAAATATATTTTAGTCCCACCTTTATGGCAGGGAGAACCTATTACTATAAATCCTACTAATGCTCTGTTACTGTATGATACTGTTTTCCGTGTTTAACTCTTAGCATCTCTCCTGGTGGCAGATCATGGCTATACCACGTTAGCCACTAGTGTGACACTGCTAAAAGCCTCTGAAGTGGAAGAGATCTTGGATGGCAATGATGAGAAGTATAAAGCAGTGTCTATCAGCACAGAACCTCCCACCTACCTCAGGTACCGAGCAGCAGCGAGGGCTGAGCCTGAGCCGGAGTTACTTGGAAGGTGTTGGGTTGGACAAGAAGCTCTGTCCTGTCCTTGACAGGACATGTCACTGCATGAGCCCATGGTGCAGAGGGGCACTGGCTGCTCCGGACTAAAAAAAAAGATAAAAAAAAATGCAGTGTTGGATAAATGAAAACCTCCAGGCTGAGAATATAAAGTTATTGCCCATATAAAACAAGAAGGAAAACATCAGCATTTGATGGTACTGCTCTTTTTAAAATTACCCCAGTCTAATGGATGTTTTGCAGAATACTTTCTGCATTAGCTGTTGTTTTTTTGAGTAGTCGTGCTCCTTAGCAGTCCCCATATAAAATATATCCAGGAAATCCAAATACGAACCTGATTATTTATAAAGATATAGCTGGGTTTGCATGTGATGAATAACTGAACTGGAGGGTGAGCTTTCTGGAGGCTAGTATGGAACACAAGTTCTGTGTGTAACAATATTGGTTTAGGCTCCAGGATAAAATGTCAGGATTTCATAACAGGATTTAAAGATGAAAGCTAAACTGTGCCTTAAATAATAGCAGTGATGTTCACAGTGTACAGCTTAATATATAGCCTCCTTCTTTAGGGAACAGAAGGCAAAGAGGAACAACCAGTGGGTGCCTACCCTGCCCAACAGCTCTCATCACCTGGATGCGGTGCCGTGTTCAACGACCATCAACAGGAATCGCATGGGCAGGGACAAGAAGAGGACTTTCCCGCTCTGGTAAGACAGCTGCTCGCTTCTGAAAACCGAAAACCATGACGGACACGAGGCACTGCCAGAGCAGTGCTCGTGTGTTAGTGTAATGCTCTGGTTTATCCCTGACAAAAGACTTGCGTGTTCCTAATTTAGAGCTTTCCAGTTGAACTGTGTGTCTGGAGGCTCTTCCATAAGCAGCCAGCCGTGATTCAGGTATCTCGGAAAATAAGCTTTCATTTTTGTCAGGAAAAATGTCCATTCTTTTCCTGATAGGTTCCTAAGATTTTTTTTTTCTGTGATTTGCTGAACAGTTGGCATTTGAAACACATGCAAATCCTGTATACGAAGCACTGAGACTGCCTCTCACTGACATATTCCACTAACTTTGTATCTGGTTACCTCATTAGAAGCTGCTGCTGTGACTCGTAACTACTGTTTTCTGGTGAGCAGTTGAGGAGACCAAGATAAAAGTTAACCTTGGAAAGGCTTCTTTATTTGCAGGAATGGATTATGATGCATGTGAAAAAAGGTGAAAAATTCAGCGTTGGTTGCCACAGGCCTGTAAATTTGTGTTGAGGAGCCTCCATAAAGACTGATGGGGACCTGGAGCTCCAGGTGCCAGATGTTTTTTTTGTTTTGAGCTTCACATTGTTGCTGCTTTTTGTATTAGCTTTGATGACCACGACCCAGCAGTGATCCATGAGAATGCGTCACAGCCGGAGGTTCTGGTTCCAATCAGGCTGGATATGGAAATTGATGGGCAGAAGCTCAGAGATGCATTTACATGGAACATGAATGGTAGGTAGGAAGGAGAGTTTCCTGAGGGTGGAGAGTGTCGTGTCCCTCACAGAACATGTAAAGAGAGCAAGCGTGGGCGTGCGTGTCCTTACCCTGTACACACAGAGTTAAAGGCCTCCCGGTTGGGTAGGCTCTGTTCAGCTTTTGGTTCTCTTAAGGGATTACTGTGCCACCTCTATGGGTTGCAGTCATTCCTGGAGATGTATAAATTGAAGTGTTTACCTGGCCTGTTCTGCTGACCCGTTTCAGCAGCCTAACAAGACCATTCTGTTAGTTGAGACACCTTAAACATTTAATGTGTATGGCTGCTTTATGCCTATTTGGATTATTAGGCTAAAACTATGTTGTCTCCAAGCACATATAAGGAAGGCTGTTAGTTCAAGTCCATGTGTCAGAGCACACATCTTCTTGCAAACCTGAAACTGAACATGCCTTTAAGAGCAAAAGATGATGCACTTGGGATTGCCCTCTTTACGCCATAGGCTTAACTTCGTGTATTCTGTAAGTGGAAGACATTGATTAGCAAGAAAATTAATGATGTCTGTTCGTTCTTGTTCTCTGTCAGAAAAGCTAATGACCCCGGAAATGTTTTCTGAGATTCTTTGTGATGACCTGGATTTGAATCCTCTGACCTTTGTCCCTGCTATTGCCTCCGCCATCCGACAGCAGATAGAGTCATACCCAACGGACAGTATTCTAGAAGACCAGTCAGATCAACGAGTTATTATTAAGGTAATACCCGAAAGCAAAGGTAGGAAAGGAGCTAAATCACTTGTCTGGTTATGGTATAGGGTAAGAAAAGTACAGAGTCTTCCTTCAGAACCAAGGAGCTCTTAATCCCTGTCCTTTGTCCAGATTACTTCTGTGCTTTGTCTTGAGGACAGCACTAAGGTGGCAGATTACTAAATATCCATGAAATGGTGAAGGAGATCCGTTAAAGCACATGCTGTCCTTTTGGAAGAGCTGAACCTTGGTGAACAGAGCCAAGTTGCCTTCACCCTCCTGGAATTAGAGAATTTGGTTCAGGAGCTCTGCGATGCAGTGAACTGGAATTTGCCTCTGCTTCTCTTATCCATGTTAAATTACCCTTGACCAACTGTTGTGACAGATGGAAACAACTCACTTGTGTTTCTTCCTTCTCTCTAGCTAAACATCCACGTAGGGAACATCTCCCTTGTAGACCAGTTTGAATGGGACATGTCAGAGAAGGAGAATTCACCAGAAAAGTTTGCCTTGAAGCTGTGCTCCGAGCTTGGCCTGGGTGGCGAGTTTGTCACCACTATAGCCTACAGTATCCGCGGACAGCTGAGTTGGCATCAGAAGACCTACGCCTTCAGGTAGAGAACTTTCATTATTACTGTTGTTATTACTGGTGTGGCTGTGGATGTTCTTGCTTCACAGATTTTAGCGTCAATGAATCTTTCAGTGACATAGTGTTTCATTTGGATCAGCCCCGATGATGGTGGCTTGCTGCTGTTCTGTCCTCCGTTAAAGAAGTTTTCCATGGGGAAAGGGTTTGGCCTCTCTGTTTTATATGCTCACTAGCACCTAAACCCACCAGCCTTGTAAGAAAACTTACCAAATAAGTAGGGGCAGTTAAAGACCCCCTCTTCCTTGAACATCCTTTTGCATCCTTCCTGGTGATTTAATAGGCAGTTCTCTTAGAGCCAGTACCATTTAAAGACCACCATTTGTGCAAGCTTAGCAGCTTTCACAATTTCCTCCTTTTCTCACTGTTCTTGGTGGCTGTTTGATCTGAAGCAGCAGGGTGCTTCGATTAGGTACATGAGATATGGCAGGAAAACAGAGCATATGATTTGTATGAAATGGGGGGACTCTTACAGATAAGAGGAGGTCTGGGACTGGAACTAACCAAAGCATCCAGAATGCTTGTGATGCCTGGGCAGCTTAGATTTGATCTCCCTGAGACATGGATCTGCTGTTGCTGGCTGCCTGACTGAGGAATGACAAAAAGCAGCGTGATCTACTACCTTATGTCTTTTGTTTTAGAGGCTGGTGTGAATCAGTCTGCTTGTGTTTGAGGATCTTTTTGTATGGGAGGCATTGCAGGGCTGAATACTGATGGTGTCTCAGCTTTGGCCATGGAATGAAAGACCAACATAATCAACAGTGACTTTGCCTTGTGCCTCCCTCTAAGCTGTGGTACTGATCAGCCCCAGGCACGTTTCTGTTTCCTCAGTTTTGCTCTGCTGGGGCCACGTCCTTGGTTAAGCCTTGGCGCTCTGAGCTAGGACTGACTGGAGCCGTAGCTCGCTAGCCGGGCTGAGTTCAAGCTGCCTTGATCACAGGCCCTCCTTGTAGCTGGAATGTGGCCATGTCGGGCTTGATTAGTCAGCTTGGTGACTTGTCTCGGCAGTAATCGCTTCCAGTTGTGCGGAGCGGTGCTCTGTGCTGTTGCTGTGCTCACGTTGTTACCCCGTGTGCGTTGCTGAGCGCGCAGGCGCTCGGTGCCCGTCAGCGTGCGAGGGTCTGTGCTGAGGCTGTCCGACCCCAGGAGGCTGGGGTTCCACAAATGCTGTATTTGCATTTGTATTTCTGAGAGGGAAGGTGCTCCTGTTGGCGCTGGTTTTGCAGAAGTGCCAGGGTGAGCCCAGGAGAACGGGATGCCCTGGCAGCAAGGGGAGTTGTGCCCTGCTGGGTATCCCCAGGGAGAGGGCAGTGAGCAGCTGGAGTGGAGCGAGGAGGAGCTGTGGGGCAGCTGGCGGAGCTGTGGGGCAGCTGGCGGAGCTGTGGGGCAGCTGGCGGAGCTGTGGGGCAGCTGGCGGAGCTGTGGGGCAGCTGGCTGCTGTGGTGAGAGCTGCTCCCCGCTCCAGGGTTTCCTCTCCGGTTGGCCTGCTTGGAAAAGGGCTGCTTGTTTGCCCTGGGCCAGCTGCTCTTTCACCAGCCCTGCTCTGCTTCCTCCGGGGGTTATTGCCACTTTGAAAAAAAAAAAACCTCCTTGATTCTGGAATGGTCCCCAAAGTGGCTCATACTAGAGGATGGAAAGAGACTTGCTGTCACTTGGAGATTAATCTCTTCTAGTGAAGGTATTGGATGGTGCTTGGGCTTCCCCATGAGTTTTTCTAGCCTAGCAAGCAAGGATTTATTTAAAACTGCCCAGGCTGCAGCTATTTCAGATTAATGCCAGTCTGCTGTTAATATTTATAAAGATGTATATCTGTCCCTGATTACTGAAGAGATCTTTCACTTAGGGCTAGTTAAGTAGGTAGATTTCAGACTTCCTTTAGACTGCTGCAATATTGCAAGGAGGAGAGTCAGAGAAGAGGAAGGGAACCTCAACAGAACTAACTCTATGGACAGGAACTATTCACGGGTTGGGGGAGACAAGCTAATTAAAACCATGTTCTGTGTCATGGTACAAACATGACCTCCTCTTCCCATTTTTCTTCTAGCAAAGGAGTACTTTGAAACATCCCTCTGATTAATGATATTTGGGTTCTGTGGTTGGTTAGTTCCTGAATTCCCAAACCACAGGAGTAGTTGTTGCTCCAGAGACATTCCATTGATGCGGGGAATGGTCTACTGTAGCTGTATCAAAAGAACCTTAATATCTCCAGGGACTGGGAGTTTGAGAAGTCATGTGGCTCTTCCTCATCTGTGGGAGAGGTGAAGTTGTCTCACAGTTGAAGAAATCCAGGGCACTTCTTCCAGCAGAGCGTCTCCATGCAAAACAAAGGGAGCCTGAAAGCCCTGGAGGGGGGCAGGACTGGAAGCAGGCAGCCCATGGGATTTTTAGGGGGTGACTGCAGCAGTATCTCCCATCCTGATACTGTTTCTAGGGCCTCACATGCAGTGCTCCCAGGCTGGGTAGCATGCACAGGGCTGAACATGGTAAATGAGAAATACACCGTGCCCGAAAGAGAGATTTAGCAGTTTGCCTAGGCTTTGTAGCAGTTTGGAGGTAAGATGAAATGCCTTGCTTAGCAGTCATTGGAGATACCCGAAGTAGATTTGACTAACATCAGATCCCAGGATCAGATAAGGGAAGGCTTTGGATGAGTTTTTTGGATTTTTTGGATGTAGGGTCATTTTGAAGGCTTGTTATTCTTGCTTAAGAGCTTTGATGCAGACACGGGCAGTCCCGAGGCACTGGGTGGCTGCGCGGGGCCGGGCGCCCACCTGCAGCCGCCTTCGCGGCGCGTGCGCCTCTGGCCCGGCCGCGCTCCGGCGTCCGGAGCAAACATTTACACGCTGAGGGTCATCTGTATTTATGCTGGGCTTCCAGCCCCACTGTCAATATTTGGGAAGCTACTCGTGGTCGGTTCCTGTTGACGCTCGATGTAAAGTGGCTAGGGAAGCAGTAAATACTTCTGTGCGTGTGATAATACAGCTGTTCAGGGCAGAGAGGGCCAAGGAGCAGATCTTGTGATCTGGGACGGAGCCTGGCATTCCGTGGCTTGTGCTGGGCCTAGCACCAACGTAGGTTATCTTGGGGCCAGAGCCTGTAATTGAAACTGTAGGTCCTAAAAGACTGCCCGTTCTGTGGGCATTGGGAGAGGCAAACTTGTGCTCTCAGGCTGCTCTCCTCAGGAAGCCAGACCTCTGCTTTGCCAGGGAAGAGCTGCTGGAGCTGTGCTAGGCAAATTACACCCGGGAAGTCTGAGTTGGAGAATGACAAAGCCAGGTCAAGAGCCTGGTTGACATTCCCTGCTCAAAAACATTTTGGGGGAAGCTGTCAGCATTAATAAACTGGTGTGAGCTTTGCCTGTACTTACTCACTTGGAGCCCTGACAGCCAGCAAAGGGTTGCTGCAAGGAGGGAACTGCTTTGTCAAATCCCCTCGCTGTGCTGAAAGGAGATGGCAGGAGTTGGCAACTCCTAACATCCTAAAATTTAACATCTAAGACGTTAAATGATGTTCTGTTGTCCTTGTATCCTGGGACAGCAGCCCAGGGCAGCGCGCACTCGGAGCACTGATGGATGTTGCCTTGTTGCCCTCTGCCCTGCCCTGCAGTGAGAACCCCTTGCCGACTGTGGAAATCGCCATCCGCAACACAGGGGACGCTGACCAGTGGTGCCCTCTTCTGGAAACCCTCACAGATGCCGAGATGGAGAAGAAGATCAGAGACCAGGACAGAAATACAAGGTGCTGCCTCTTGTTCAGACAGTTCTGTTTCTGGCTTGTTTCTAAGGCAGAAGTTAAAAGCTTTGAGGTTTGTCTTTCCCTGCTGAGAGCCAACTGGCAGGATTTCAAACTCATGCACCACAACAGAAAATCATATCCCTTTGCCTCAGGATATTAAACTGCTCTCACCTCACTCCCCAAACACTGAAATCTTCATTTCACCATCTCCTGCTTGAAACAAAGGTTGTTTTGGTTTTCCTTTCTCTTGAGCTTCCTGTTTGTGCAGGGGGATCTGTTTCTCTAGGAAGGCGTTCATCAAAAACACCCATGCTTCGTGCGCTGTCATGCTAACTAGACTCCTGCCACAAGGGCTTTCTTTTATGTTGGCTCAAGTGCTGCTTGATGCAGGAATGGGCAGGCTCCCAGCTGCAGCCCCACTGAGGGCTGCACTCTTGTGATTCCAGGAGTTGCTCTGCCTGCTCTGGAGAGCCGCTGAGCGCTGTCCCCACAGCCAGCAAGGGCCCTTGTGCCTCCTTGGTGGGATTGCTGCTGCCAGACAGAAAGGAACTGCTGGAGTCTTTCTGCGAGAAGTGTGGGAATAGTAAATATGCTGACTTGGCTCTTTCCTGAAATTCTGTTACTGTAGGTTACCAGATTCAGAATCCTTTTGTTTCTCAGCAAATGCAGCTTGAATGGCTCGCAGGAGGATTGAGTCAGTCCCAGTTAATGACAGAATTCCCACAAAAGCAGTTGCAGAAAATTGCTGTATCCCAGCCTTATCAACAGGGGACTCGGGTAACCCTGGGGCCCTGTCTAAGCAATAAACCTATGCTAAAGGTGCAGTCTCCTTCCCAAAGAAGCCATTTCTGCACGACTTGACTAGACTCAGCACAGCACTAACCAACCTCTTCTTCTCTCCTAGGCGCATGAGACGTTTGGCCAATACTGCTCCGGCCTGGTAACCCTCCTGTTGTGACACTGGTGCTCTTCCTACAGACTCTATCTCCACTCCTCTCCCCCAATGGATCTAGGATTGGCAGGAGTCTCTCTGTCCCCAAGAGGAGGGACACATTCCACTTGTCAGGCAGTTCCCAGTACTACTGCCTTCTGCCCCCATCCCCTCCATCTAAATGCCACGTACCAGGAATGCTGCGTTAGCTCAGGATCTGTCTGAGACCTGTGGCAGCTGTTGGAGCCCTAACATACCTGTGTGTGGACAGTGTAAAGATTCTTTTGTATAGGTGCAACAGGCACTGTTAGGATAACTTTTTAAATAAAAGGAATGTATACTACATTGGTTGAGTTCAGTAAGTTAAAGGAGTATCAAATCTTACCATGGTTCTTGCTCTTCTGGCAATTAAATAAGTCCCCAGCCTAATGTTAATGGTTTTAGGTGGAGTGCTGATCCCCTGCCCGCATTCATTGGTCCTAAGGTATGGGGGAAAATGAGCCCCTGAGGGGGTAGAATGGCCCACAAGCTTTTGGCTGTAGGGGATAAGGGGGAACAGCGAGATAAGAGTAGAGAGGAACAAACTGTTCTCTGCAAAGGACAGATCTAGAGTGTTGCCACAGAGGGGGGCAGTAATTTAACTCAGTGAGGTGCTCAGCTGGATTCCTTGAATGAGGGTTAACAGTTCATGACTGGTTAAACTTGGCATTTACATTTATCAAATGTGAACCTCCCACATGTCATGATTGCAGGCCTTCTGTCTGTGAAAACTCAGACTGGGAAACAAAGTCTGCAAACTTACACAAAAATTACAGCCTGCAATGACTTACTGCGACTGTTCTTCTGCAAGTGGCCTTGCATGGTTTGTCCACGACCATCCTGGTCAGAGCATGGGTTGTCTGAGAGCAGTTGGTTACAGGGCTTAGCACTAACCCTACCTGAACACAGCATGGACTCATAAAGACCCAGAGTACAGGGAGGTCAGCCTTTGGTGACTCTAGAAACAAACCTGTCTTTCCGGGGGGAGCTTACAAACAGAAAAGTCATTGAATTGAGATTAAAAAGTTTCAGCTTGCTTAAGAAAGCCTCATTAGAACGTACCTTGCTGCAGAGGTACATGGACTCTTTGATAAAGTTCCCACCATTCCTGCCAGGAATGGAAGAGTGGTGCAAGCATGGCAGACCTTGCTGGCAGCCTCACAGTTGCATTCAGGCCCTTATGATAAAGGGAAGAGGTTCTACAGTCCTTGCTCACCCACCCACACTGCTAGCACAGTCAAAAAATATATATATACATTCTGACCTTAATTTATCATGTTTAGGCTTGAGTAATAGCAGAGCCCATCTGATTCCTGAGCAGGAGGAAACTTCTTCGAGATGTTACTCTGCAGAAATCTAAAACTTGCAAGTTAGCAATAATATTACTCAAAAGGAATTTCAAGAATGGAACTACACTACTTGTTTAGAGAGCTTTTATTACCAGCTCCAAGTACTACTTGTGGCCATAGACTAGAACAAGCTTTGAGCTTTGCTCCAGTCTGAACAACGGCCTTTCTCCAACCACCCCTCCTGCTGACAGAGCAGGGAGGGCAGCACCTGGTTACTCTGCCTTTTGTCCCCTTCACAGCCTGGCACTTCCAAGGAAAGCCCAGACAAGCACTGGTGATTTGGCCTACAGAGAAAGTGGTAACTGCCCTTGGCAGAAATGGACACATAAACTGAAAAATAAAGATTTTAATATAAAGACTCTTTGGAAACAAAAAGGGGTGGGAGTGGGGTTTAGAGGAAAGACACAGGCTCAACTGCATTCTGCTAGGGTCAGTTTTTGTTGGGGAGATCCAGTTGTGCCTGTACCATGCCAGGACATACTAGCTGACTGAAAGCCCACCGTGATCCCTCCCAGCACTGTAAAGGGACCATTAGTCCATGCACAAACAGCAGAATCCACACGGTGCAGTGAGAGTCAGTAACAGCACGGAACGAAGCAAGCCATTTAAGGCCCCACTCGAAACTTACTCCCTGCTGGGTAAGGGAGGAACATCCCAGAGCTTCCAGCCCTGTCTCTAGAACACCTTGCCAAAACATTCACCAGTTTTCACGTGCAAAGCTCTGTGGAACCACCTGACACAAGAGGAAGATGTGTTACCCATACAGACAGTGAAACATCACACATGAGAATGGCAACTGGTGTTATTCCAGTAGGACCGCTGGGGCACCACGTAAGTCCAGTGGGAAGAGAAGAATCTGGTCACATGGAAAAGTCCTTTGTGTTATTGTGGCTGCTGCTGGTTCTGGTCTTGGGCTCCAGGATGGTTTTCTGGCTGATCCTCAGGGAGAGGGTTATAATTGGGATCCTCTTCAGGTGTGTCAAATACCATCTTCCTGGCAAGGGAGGTGCCCATTCCACCAAGCAGGAAGGTTAACATAAGCCAAGAATAATGAAAGCCCCCCCAGCCCTCCCAGGAGCATCGTGGCCCTTCACAGCACTGGTGTGCACACTGTTGAACTGCTTGTTCTGCTTCCTGAAGCCACAGAAGGTGGGCTTTAGCCCCCAGGGCGGAGGCTAAACAAATTCTATCTGCATCTAACTTTTTCTTAAAAACACCAGGTAACAGAGCTTAAAGTACTAGCAGCTACTTTATGGCACTTACATATATATGTACACAGCATGCTGAATGTCAACATTTTCCACCACAGAGGCATGAACAGCTGCTACTTGCCCACAGCTGGGTCCCGGGGCTTAAGGGAGAAGCAGCAGCACGAGCAGCAGCCCAAGCAGGGTGACCCAGCACAGTCTGCTGCAAGTGAGCTGGTCTTGAAGGCAACACAGCAAACCCCAGAGCAGCAGCTTTACTTACAGGAAGCCTGGTGTCAACAGCAGCTTCTTTCCTCCTGGCTGGTTGGGGAAGACATCCTCCAGGAAGTAGTAGATATGACCCACTGCAATCCCTGGGGAAGAGATGTCACCATGGTCATATTTGGCTCTGCCTCCTTTGCCTGCTAAAGCTGAGCAGTAGGGAGCTTGAAGCACAGGGAAGCTCCAAGAATCCCCAAGCTGCACCCATGTCCCAGCTCCCACCAGATCCACCGGTGCTGCATGGCACTGGAGGGTGGCTGTAACCACGTTTTGCTCGGGTGCAGGAGCAGGCACTGAGCCTTGGGCCTCGAGGCTGGCACAGGGGACAGCTGTCAGCCAAGACTCCCCATTCACAACTTCTGCATCCAGAAAAAAAAAAAACCCACTGGCTTCAACTCACCCAGCAAGTCGATGATGATGGAATTACCCAGGAGCAGGGAGAAGCCCATGAGGACCCAAGGCAAAAATGGAGCCTGGAAGTTCAGGAGCCCGAAGAAGTTCATGCGGATGTAGGGGTTCCTGCGGCTCCACACGTACACCAGCATGATGGTGAAAGCCTGGCCCAAGAAAAACAGGCTGGCAAAGAGGCCAAACAGCTGGGAGCTACTGAGTCAAGGAGAACACGGTGCACTAACCCAGAGGCTCCAGGCTGCACAGGATGCATTGCAAGACAGAACCTGGCAGTGGTAAGTGGCTGGTGACACCCACATGCTTGAGCCCTCTCTGACCGCCCCTGACACCCGCCACCCTGGAACAGGGCACCTCGGAGTATCACGTGCAGGCTGCTCATTCCCGAGCTGCCTTATGCAGCGTGCTGAGGCGAGGAGCACAAGCTGCTCCACACAGCCCAAAGTCACCCACCCGTGACCCGGGCCCCGTGCAGGCACACAGGGCACGAGCCCGGCAGGCTCAGGGAGCCACAAGGTTCTCCCCAGCCCAGGGTCTGGCAGCCAGCAGCTCTGTTCACCAGCCAGATGCTTACAAACAAGACAAGCTGTGTAGAAAAAGCCAAGAGACCAACCCCATGCTATTCAAACCACGTCGGAGAGCAGCCCACGGGGCATACAGCAGCTCCAAAGGATACTGTCATGAGAAATCCTCCGAAGAGGAACATGAAGACAAAGTCAGCTGTCCTTCCTCGGAAGGAGCCTTCTTCTAGCATGCGGCAGTACCTGTACCTGGGAGCAGGAGAGAAGGGAGGGGTTGCAGTATAGGAAACTAACAGCTGGCTGCCCTGTGTCCCCAGCACAGCCAAGGGCCAAGAGGCCAGCAGTGCCACCAGAGGAAGGTGCCAGGCAGGGGGCCCAGCCCCAGAGGGGACAGTGCGAGTTTCCCCTTGTGCCACCAGCCCCAGGGAAAGGAGGAGCCACCCCCTTTCTGCTGCCCTTGTGCTGGCCGGGGCTCAGCGCCAGGAACGCTGCTCTCCAGCGCTGCCCGCTGCTTCCCCTCTAGCAGGGGCTGCCCTGCTGCTCACAGGGCTGCAGGAGGTGGCAATGGCCATGGACGGAGTCACTGGCTCCAGTTCAGACGAAGACCCACACGGGGAGCATGTGCTGCTGCCAAGGGAAGCCTGCTGGAGGGGGGAAAGGGGACAGTGGGGAGTCACGTCCAAGTCAAAATAAAATAAAATAGGGCAGGGCGCTTGACTGAGACAAAGGATACAGAAATATCATGTTGAAAAAGAAACTGAATCCCAGGGGCCCAAAAAAGAGGAAGTTGGTGATCAGCCTCCATATCTGAAAGAGAAGAGAGAGGAGAGAGGAGGCGGCGGCCAGCCAGGTGCCTTCCCAGCACATGTACAGCAGCCCAGCACCTATCCACTGCGGATACCAAGTCACCCAGCCCCTCACTGGGACACCAGGCAGCTGCATCCCCTCCCACGGCACCTCCCCGAGGGGGCTCCACACACTGGCAGCACTCCCTGCTTTTCCAGGTGGGAAGGAGCTTCCCCTGCTTCTCCAGAAGGGCTGACAGCCGTGATTGGGCACCCAGGCACACAGCCCTTCAGCGCTCTTCAGTGCAGAGCCTTTCCCAGGGTCAACGCCTCACCCAGGGGAGGGAAGAAGGGACAGGTTACAAGTGAAAGAGAAGAAAGCTCTAGGTGGCCTTGGTCAGGGGAAGCCACTGCCATGGAGCTGTGTGTGAAAGGGCCACGGCAGCGCCCCAGCTCCACAGGAGGGGAGGACGGAGCGGGCACAAGGAGGGCACCCTGGGTGCCTGAGGGAGCGGGACCTGCGGCCGGGCTCCTCGCTGGGAAGCAGCGGGAGAGGAGGGCGCCATCCGGGCGGTGCCTCACCTGGAACCTCCTGAAGATGAGCTCGGGGTTGAAGTACAGCTGGAAGGGGGTGATGAGCTCCAGCTGCTGCAGGAGACGGGCAGGGCGCGGGTCACCCCTGCGGCAGCAGCGCCCCGCGCCACGGGGCCCTGCGCCCCAACCGCCGCAACCGCCACAACGGCCGCAACCGCCACCCGCAACTGCCACAACGGCCCGCGGCTGCCCGCAGGCCCCGCACGAGCCTGGCCCCCACGAGCCCCCCGGCCTCCCCCCAACACCTGTCCCCTCAGAGGGGCGCCCCCTCTGCCGCACGGCGCTGCGCTCACCACGGCGGCCGTGGTGAGCACGCAGGCCGTGGTGTAGGCGCGCGTCACGGCCGGCATGCCCAGGTACTCCTGCGCCAGGCCCTGGTAGGCCATGGCGACCGCCGCCGCCGGCCGCCGCGCCGTCCCTTTAACGCCGCCCCGCCTCTCCCTCCGCCGCGCGCCGCCGCCCCGCCCCGCGGGCAGCACCTGGCCAATGGCGGCGCGCCAGGAAGCGCGGGCGGGCCAATAGGCGCGTGCCTCATGCCCTCTGCTTCCTCGTTCCGCCAATCCGCAACGGACCCGCTGCGGAGGGGGACGGCGCCGGGAGGGAGGAGCCCCGCTGAGGGGGCGGGGCGAGCGCGTGGCCCATGGTAGCGGGCGGAGCCCGCGACAGGCAGGTGTGCGAGGAGGCGGCGCAAAAACAAAAGCGGTCACGTGGCGCCTAGCAGCGGCCAATCCGCGTGGCCGCCGGCGCGGAACAATGGGGTGGGGTGGGGCGGCGCGCAGCGCACGTGGAGCCGCGGGAGCGGAGCGGCCGCGCCGGGCCGGCGCCCTCCCAGCAGCCCCTGCGGCCCCGCAGCCGCCGCGCCCTCAGCAGCGCGCCGCGCCGCGGGCCTGGGCGCCGCGGGAGCGCCCGCGGCCGCGACGAGGAGGAGCTTCCCCGAGGTGCGCGGCGCCGCGGCGGGTCGCGGGGGGCAGCAAGGCCCGCGCGGGGCCCCCGGCCCAGCCCCGGTGTTGGGTTCCCAGGAGAAGGTTAAACTGTCGTCGGGCTCTTAATGAGCCCTGCCGTATCTCCTTAAGCCGCAGTTAATGGGAAACGATGGCGCTGGTGGGGGAGGGAGCCTGTCCGTCTGTCCGTCTGTCTCCTGCCACCAAGACAAGACCAAAAAAAAAAAAAAAAAACCCACCAAAGCTGCTCTCAATTTCCATTAGAAATGCCCACACTCAACCTTGGCCGTCCGGGTCCGCTGTTGGACAGGTCTCAGTCAGGGGACCCATGGAACTGCCCAAGGGATTGAGTATCGCATCCGTGATCCCTCCTTACGTCAGCCTGGGGATGCGCTCAGGCACCTGGCCCCGGGGCAGCCCTTTCCCATGCAGCTCCACACACCAGCTCTGCATCGGCAGCTTAGCTACAGCAACTGGGTGCGCTCGGAACTTCGCAACCCACAAGCCAGCTCAGTTCAGAAGGCCTGCAAGTGCAGAGCTAGTGCACTCTGCATATTTGTCTCTGTGAATTAATTTAGCTTTGGTAAAAAAAAATATTAGTTTCCTGAAAGAGAAGGGTTTTGCGGATACCCTTTTGTGGATAAGGTGTTGGACGATTGCTGGGCCCTCCCCTTTGCTCTGTTTTAGTTTCTTTGTTTCTGGGGTGATTTTAAGGAACACGTAAGTATCTGTCCGGGTTGCAGGTGAGCTTAACCCGGTGACAGAAACTCAACAGCTTCCTGTTTCAGTTTCTGCAAACTAAAATAGCAAAGAGCTGCAAAACAAAGAAAGAAGCCATTAGCTCTCCCCCAGAGCTAAACAACACACAGACCTCAAGGAGGCACATGAGCAAAGACAAATGGGCTGTTTCAGAGTTCATCTCTTTTGTTTGTGGTGAATTATTGTGTGTAATTCATGTTTCCTGTCCACAAGCGCCGGCAGAGCTCCATGGCATGGAATCTGTTCCATTTAGGCAAGACAAAAACAACCCCTCCGGAGCCTGTCTGGAAGCTGTTTCTCTCGTAACTGTTCCGGGCTCGGTAACGAGTTCAAGAGCTGCCCTCGCTAATTGCTTCAAGAATAAACAGGCGCTTTGCTTAGAGGCGGCGGCTCCCACAGCCGGCGCGGGGCGACGGGGGCTGCTGCGGGCCAGCCCTGGCCACGGGGTACCCGGCACCTCCCCGCACTTGGAAAAGTGTCCATCTGGTGGCACGTGTGGCTTTGGTAGGTCTGCCCCAGGGCCTTTCGTAGCACAGCCTGTGTCAGGTCACACCTAGGCACCTCCCTCTGTAGGTAGGACATAAGGTGCACAACGGGGCAGGGATCATTCCCCAGCCACCCAACCCTGGCCCACACTGATGCTCCAGGCCAACAGCAGAGCCTCAAAGGCTTTTTGTTTGCCTTTTAGAAAGTAGCTAAAAATTACACTTAGTGCTGAGCCCTCAAAGACACCCAGTTTGTGCAGCGCCTGTTGGATACTGAGGCTTACATAGTTTTCTATTTCTTCCATCTCATAGTCCAGGATATAGTGCACACAACCTTAGGTGGGAAAGATTTCACCTGGATGTCCTTGAGCAGAGCCCAGACCTACTGAAAGGAAGCGCCTCTCCCAAAGCACCTTCTGGTCCTGAGCTGCAGACACCAGGCAAGAAGCTCTGTCTCTTTGCTGGCTGCTTTTCCTGCAGTCAGGATGGGTTAGTCACTCTGACACCCCGCACTTATTTTTTCTTTCCTCTGTTGGAAACATTTAGGAATATTTATTGCCATTTGGCAGGGTGGAAACACTCTTTGCATGCACTCAGGAAGAGAAATTTTGTTTAGTGAAGCAGTTTTTATCTCTGATCTGCAGTTTAAACTAAGCCCTGGCATAAGTGTACGGTGCAAGACATGAACAAAAGGGAATAAATCAGCCATTGCATGATCTATAGCTCACGGTGATCTAGGAAAGCAGATTCCAAGCACTTTTAGTATCTTAGGCTTCCTGGGTTTTCCCAGAGAACCTCCATTGCTTATCAAGAGGATGGAAAGGTAGGATGCTGATTGACCAGAGAGAAGTCAGAGCCCTTCCCCTGCCATCCAAGCCCCCAGCTGGCAAGTGAAAGCAGCTACGTGTCCCTGGCAGGATCAAGCCCCATGGCCTCAGAGGACTCAGCTCCCAAGCAGTGCTTCATGCTGGAAACCATCCCAGTGACCCTGCGTGGTGGCGGGAGCTCTCAGCACTGGGGCCCTGCCCTGAGAACCTCTGCAATGGACCCGCTTCCTGACGCTCTTTTACAGTGTCTTGAACTCACATAAACTGTAGGGTTTGTTTTTTGGTTGGTTGGTTGCTTGTTTCCCTAGTTAACATTCCTGAGCTGTTGGAAGTCAGAATAACAGTATCACAGCAGTTCATTCTGCAGTCCCAAGCCTCAGGGATGGATGTGGGGCCCTTTCCTCCTCCTGCAGTTGGTCCAGAGGGTCCTGGGATGAAAATGCTCTAAAATGTAGGAACTTTTCAGTGCATGGCAGATCAGAACACAAAGCAGGGCATGTGTTCCCCTTCCTAATGCTGGGACTACCACTTATTCCTGCAATCAGACTATCATTGGCACAGAGACTGCCGTCACATTCTCCAGATAACTCCTTTGCCATCTAATGGCATCATAATTCACGTTCACGATGACAAGGTTGAGTTCAGTGAAAAAGCATTGGACAGAAGAGGGTGCCTGCAATAGTAGAGCTAGATCTCTGCCTGTTCAACGTGAGGGCTTCCAAGTGTGGGAATTACAGCGTCTGCAGCGAGGTGCTGACCCTGGGGACAGGCTCTGTGACCAGGGCCTCCCTGCCCTTGCACAAACTGTGGCTCTGAAGATGTGAGGACCTGTCAAAGGCAAAGCAATGGCCCAAGCTGGCGGGCAGGACTTGCACCTGGCGGTGCCCTTGGTGCCAGCAGCAGCGGTCTCTGCGTACATAGTGCTAGCAGAATGGGAAGGTTCTTGCCAACACAGAATAAATGTTTGGCTTCCTGAAGAAAGATCTACTCAAAACCCATCCCATTCAGATTGGGCAGGAGGAAGATGCTTTTAAAATGTCTTAGAGTTCCTGAAAAATGCTGCCTAAAACACATATCAGTGGGTGTTTTAACTTGTACTACTCTATACCTTATGTCTAAAATACATGTTTTAACTTGTTCAACTCTATACCTTCTTTTCCCAGCGCATGAGTGGATGGCAGTGGGATTTGTGTCTCTAAATTATAGTTATGAACTTGCTGGCAGTCGTCCCGTGACCCCTACCACGCGCCACGGGGAAGCAAACCCTGGCATGACGGATTCAGAGCTAAAAGGGGAACCTCGGGCTTCTCCTGCCACTCAGTGGCTGAGGCGGATGTGGCACCGTGTGAGCACCTCCCTCCTGCGCATCCGCACACGGCCCGGGGATGCTGAGCAGGGCTGTGCCCGCAGGGATACCCCTCTCCTGCCGCTGGCTCCCATCTCCAGGATTTGGGATATGCACAACGTCCCTCTGCCAGAGATGTCCGTCACAGAAGGGAAGATGCAACCAACCCCGCGCCGCTGCTGCTGCTCCTGCTCCTCCTGCTGCTGCCTTGGCACCGTCTGCCGCCCTGCGGCTGCCGCAGCAGCCAAACATGCGGATCCTGCATCCGGAGCAGCCAATGGCAGGTCAGCAGGGAAGAGATCACGGCCCACGGTAAGTGGAAAGGTGAGCCGGAAGGCACGGATGACAGGTCGCTGAAGATGCCCCCGTTGCTCTGGAATGAAACCTTTCCTACTCGTTAGAATTTAGCTGCAGCCCCTCGGGGGGTTTCTACTGCATAGAGCTGCTTAGTTTTTAACTAGAATTTTGAAAGAGGGCTGAGTTTTAAGGGAATTGGTTGTGAACTGCTATGGGGTGACATAAGTCCATTACAGAAGGCTCTTCCACCGTGTCATGGGCGGTAGGCCCATTCCTGTCACTGATGGGATATAGGGAAATAACATCTGCCTTTCAGATTCTAGGCTGAGCTACAGGAGAAACACAGTGAGAAAAAGCTTTGGTTTCCTTCTGCGTGGGTCATTCAGTCAGACAAACACCTTTGGGGATAGATGCTTCCAGAGGGAATGTATTGCTGTAAACTTCATGGACCTTCAGGATTTTTGTGACTCTGGGTATCATTTCCCTAAACTGTCATGTATTTACAACAAAACTGAACTGCCTCTTGCTAATGAGTGTGCAGCCCAGTTTTGAGACTGTAAATCAGCTGGCAGGACACCTGCCAAGTCAAGTGTCTTATCGTAATGTAATGGGTGACTAAATACACATTCCAGTGCTGGAGATTTAAATAATCCTTCAGAGCACTGCTGAAAGTACCAGAGAGCCTGGTAAACGGAGGAAAATCTACTGAAGAAGATGAACAAGCTACAGAGACTGGTAAAAACCCACCTATTTTGCTATTATTATTGATGGATCAAGTTCTTATTTTAATTTTTAGCAGGCTGTGTGAGTACTAGCAGGTACTTACAGAGTTGATTGTCCAGATGATCACAGTGCTGGGATGAAGTTGGTGGACTAATGGGTCTCCTGGAAGCCACCACAGGGGCTGGCACAACCCTGCAGCTGCTGGGTATTGGGAAAGACTGAGGGGTGATACTGTAAATGGAGTGTAACTCTAAGCACAGACCTGCTTGTTGGCTCTTGAAGAGAGAAGCAAAGCAACTTGCCTGAGCCCAGGGGCACGGAGGAGCTCGGTGAGCTGACAGGTGACGTCCTCTGTAAGGAAAGCAGGGAGCAGGAGGGAGTCACGTCCGTAGCCCCTGCAATCAGACAAGAAGCAGGGCACTGGTTTAGAAATCTCACTTAGCTGCACCTTGTGCAGCTGGAGGAGCAGAGGTGTCAGAGGCAGCAGCCTTAGCTCAGTTCTGGTTAACGAGACAGTGCAGGGGGCAGCCGGGGAAGTGGGAGCGAGTGACATGGAGCTGCTTGCGACGGGCACGTCCAGGGCTCAACGGGCACGTCCAGGGCTCGTCCTCGTGCCGCCCCGGGGCTGCCTCTTGCAGGGAGGCAGTGACTGGGCTTGGAGCAGAGCCAGAGCTCTGCAAAGCCTCCAGGCACAGGGCGAGGGCGACCCGAGGCTCACAAAGCTGCCACAGGAGGAGAGGTCAGCAAAATGTGGCGCTCTAGGTCCCTCAGAAAGCTGGCAAGAGACCTCACCTGCTCCCATATCCCTTCACTTGTGTGCACTTCCAAGGGCAGAATGCCAGTGTTTAACCGGCAATAAGAGCAGCTGGCAGCACAGATTAAAAAGTAGCATCCAGGAGACACAGAACATGACACAGGAGCCACGTCTGGCTGCTTATTTTGCTCATAAAATGATATTTAAAAAGCAGGCAATATTCTGTCTGGACAAGAAATTACAGACTGGTAAGTCAAAGACCTTGTAGGAATGAGGAAGTTCAACAGTGTGACATGGTTTGCTCTGTACAAAATGTGAAGCAGCAAGGAAAGGGTCTCAATTTTAAGCTAATATGTGAATTAGCTATGTGGGTACATATGTGGAATTTCAGGGAAGAGATAGAAGAAATATCATAGGATGAATCAGAATCACATAGGATAGCCACGAGAAAATGGCCAATACTATAGGGAAGCTCCATTCAATAGAACTCAGACAGAAAACGGACAGAAGACATAAAACTTTGGCAGTGTTTTTAAATAACTTGAATTAATTGGAGCAATAACACAAGTCTGTACCACTACTTATTGTTGTCACACACTTTCTAAGCATGTAAATATTAAATGAAAGACACTTGTAGGCCCCTGTCCAAAAGCTACCGCAAATTCTTTGTGAATGGCAATGAATTATATGTATTATTTTGCAGTAACGGGATCCATAGAGTATAAACATTTGTATTTTTTTCCCATCTTTGGTGCCTCCCATCTTATGAAGATGTTTGTAGCCTCTGCAGCCTCACGACTCAGTGTGAATGGGCCTGTGTCAATGGGCCTGTGTCAATTCCTGCTGGGCTATTTTATTCTATGCAAGAAAGCCACCCACTTTCTGTCCATCTTCTTCAGCTTCAGAACAAGATCCTGATCCTGACCGCATGTGCCGCTGGCATCGGGGGCACTTTCCAGTACGGCTACAACATCTCCATCATCAACGCTCCCACTTCGGTAAGTACCGCAAGGTCAGGAGCTCCGGCCAAGGCAGGAGCCAAGTTTCCTACCAGGAGGTCTCTAACACCAGGCCATGAAAAATGGCTTGTCACCAAATGTGCAGCCTGCTAAAACTATGGATGAAAAAGAACGGATATGTTGTTCCCTCTGGAGAGCTGATTGCTGATGTTCAGCATCACAGTGTTAGCAGGCACCCTTCAGGAGGTGTCACACAGAAGCCTTGTTTCAATTACTTCAGCAAATCTAACATTGAAATTTTCTAGCCTGCATCCTTTGAAATTGAGTTTTTCCCTTAAATTCAAAATTGGACCCATGAAATAAATTTTTAAAATATACAGGATAGTTAATACATAAACTAATTCCAGCTTCTCAACAGGTGCAATTTTACACCCTTAGCACCTGTTAAAAAAAAACATCTGAGACCTGGAGCTCATTTTCAACCAAAGCTTCGGAGTCACGGGCACAGAATAAACAGATATATTAAGAAAAAATGAAAGAAGTTTCTACATTTCCAAGGGTCCTTCATCTCAGGGCTGCAGCTGAGTATCTCTGCCCTTCCGTTGCAGTACATCCAGAGGTTTATGAACGAAACGTGGCTGGAGCGCACGGGCACTCCCCTTGGCAGCGATGTGATCCTGCTCCTCTGGTCCTTCACGGTCTCCGCGTACCCTCTGGGAGGACTCACCGGGGCCATTGCGGCCGGGCCCATGGCGATCATGCTGGGGAGGTGAGATTGCCCTGAATTTTGCTCTAAGCCTTGCAGCTTCTTTTAATCCAAGCAGAATTATGAGCAAAATACAGCAAAATACCCTGTGGCTAAAGAACATGAAAAGACTTTTCCGTCGGAGATGAGTCTGCCATTAATCTTCCGAGCTGGCGGGGAGATGCTGCCTTGTATGGTTGTATTTCGTGGCTCCAAACCCAACCTGGCACAGCTCTTGTCCCCTTGTTATCTTCTGAAAATATTCTGGCCCAGCTGGACTATTAAAAAAATAGATTTTGGCTCAGCTATTTCCAACAATAACTACCTACAGAGTCACCATCACTTTTCTGTCCTTCATTCAATTAAAAAATTGTGACAGAATCGACCCAAGGACTTTGTAGGAATGGCACCCTGCAAAGCAGAGCAGTTAATGTGGTAACTAAACCTTCCTAAAACTATACTAAACCTGTCCATATCTGAGCTCACAGTTGTCTCTCCTCTCTGAAGGAAGACGTCCCTGCTGTTGAACAACGTGTTCGTGATCATCGCCGCAGTCCTGTCAGGATTCAGCCGCATGGCAAAATCCTTTGAGATGATTATTCTCAGCAGATTCTTTACAGGCCTGAATGCAGGTATGGAAATGTAAGAAACACAACAGGACACATGGGAGAGAAGTATCAGTCAGAAATAGAGGAGATTAAATAGGAATCATCCAAGCCATTCAAAAAGTTTGTCTTCTAATGTGATCATATGTACACGAAGGAAGAAGTTGCATATACACAGTTTGCTTGTTGCTTCTATGGATTTCTTTAAGCAAACATATGAAATGGTATGTGTGTAATACACCCATGACTCTGCGTGTGCAGTGGGCCTGCTAGGAGGGGAGCCCTGGAGAAACTAAGCTGACAACCGATGCCTATCTGCTTGTAGGAAGGTTATCAACCACTCACCAGTGTGAGCACCAACGTGAAACTTCTCACAGAAGTTAATTCTAGGGAATAATGATTGACACAAGTGACTTACAATATGGTATTCCCTCCAAAATGAGGGACTAGAGTGAAGATTTATCTATAGCCTTGTGTTTAGTGTTGAAAAGACCTTGGTGCTCAGGCCCAGTCCAGTTTCAATTTTATTATCTATTACTACTTTTGAGTATGGAAGTGTATGTTTAACATAATATGCAATGAATAAGAGGAAAATTAAATGTTTGGGTAAATCATAAGCACTGTCACATCAGTCATCGTGTAGCAGCAGACACGAGAGCCCAGGTGGTGGCCTTGAGAGAGGGTTGGCTGCACTCGTCCCCATCTCCTCCATCTCCAAGCTGTCTTGTCTGCCTTGCCAGGTATAAGCATGAACATTCAGCCCATGTATCTGGCAGAAAGTGCCCCAAAGAAGCTCCGAGGAGCTGTGGCCTTGACCTCTGCATCGTTCACTGCCCTGGGCTTGCTGGTGGGGCAGGTTGTTGGACTCAGGTAATGTACTGCTACAAGCCCTCTTTACACTCATTCCATGTCTTTCTTCTCCTATTTTTGCTTTGCCTGTCCTCTCTTCTCTTTCTCTTCCAGTGCCCACAGGCTGCCAAGGAGGCTGGGCTCTTGCCCTGATGTAAAATGTATTGTGCAAGGGGTGGTTGTTGTTACCCTTTTTTCTCCAGGGAGCTCCTAGGAGCAGAAAACAGCTGGCCGCTTCTTTTAGCCAGCAATGCAGTGCCTGCCCTCATCCAGCTCATGGCTCTGCCTTGGTTCCCTGAAAGCCCCAGATATCTCCTGATTGACCGAGGAGACAAAGAATCCTGCATCTCTGGTGAGTCCGGGGGACTTCTGGTCACATCAAGCTCCAAACATGATTGATTCCTCCTTCCAAATCAAGCAATATGTTGGAATCTTAAGTATTTTTGATGTATTGAGAAAATTGGAAGGCATCTTCTTATAAAAGACATTTGCTATGAAGGTAGAGTCAAAAGGTGGAATTTATGTCCACAATGGGACATAGGCCTTGTAGCTATGAAGTGAAATTAATGCTGGTTGAAGAGCTCATGACCAAATCTGAAACCAATTCATATTAAGGGATTTGCTTAGATTTGTAGCATGCAAATCCCCATACACAGAAAGGCTGGAATTAGTTTCCAGAGAACATGTGCTGCGTACCAAGAATATTTAATTCCCTCAGTTTCCCAAGAAAGTTACTTGAAAAGCGAGTCAGACCCATGGCTGCTGAAATGCTACTGCTTGCAAATACTTCCTTGTGAAACAGCAGGGAAGGATTCGCAGTGTCTTTTCCCTCGGATTCCTCCAGCGGCTGCAGCCCAACTTGCCATGGTGGTGCAGGAACACAGACTGCTCCCCTGCTTCCCGCAGCCCTCGCTTGCTGCTTGAGCATTCACCCTGCAGAGGGAGGCAAATGGAAGGAAAAGCCAATGGAAGAAAAAGCCAGAAAAAGCCAAAAGGGTTCAGGGAAAAGAAGAGGTTTCTCTTGTCCTTGCAGCACTGCAGAAGCTCCGAGGCCACTGCGACCTGAGCGCGGAGCTGGAGGAGATGCTGGCCGAGCAGGCTGCCACCCACGGGCAGAGGCCCAAAAAGCCTTGGGAGCTCTTCCAGGACCGGGCGGTGCGGTGGCAGCTGCTGAGCATCGTGGTGCTGAGCAGCGCCATGCAGCTGTGCGGCAACGACTCGGTGAGGGCACCGCGGCGCCCGCCTTCCCTCCGCACGGCCTTCCCGCCCCGGAGCCGCCCTCGCCCGCGACGCGGGCACGGAGCGATGCTCGAGCTGCTTTTCCCAGGGGAGATGTTAGGTTGGAATATGGAAAGCGGAGGCATAAGGAGAGACCTGAGCACACATGCTAGAGTTGTGCTGCCCTATTTAGTGCAAAGAATTTTTTGCATGCAGCTCTGGGTGAGGCGAGGAAGGTTAGATAAAGAAGACAATAAATCCTGGAAAACAAGCTAAGATCTATGTATGCCCACAGCCTTCTGAGAGGTCAGGAAACAAGAGTCTTTCATTGCTGCCCATTACTGCCCATTCCCTTCAGGAAAAGCAGGGGTTCGTGTTCCAGGTATCTTCCCTTACCGTTCTCTCCTCTCTTTTCTCCTCAGATGTATTTTTATGCAGCTTATGTGTTCCAAGAGGCTGGAATCCCACAGGAAAAAATCCCCTATGTTGTAATCGGCACAGGAAGCTGCGAACTGATCACATCGGTCACTTGCGTGAGGCTCTTATTCACTCTGCTGCCAGGCAGGGGGCTGTTAATGCCCAATTTCAGATGTCTTGCCCTTCGTCCCAAAGCAGCACTTCACACCCAGCAGTCAGGTAGCTGCTCAGTGTTTGTGTCCAGGTTAATGCTGAAGCCCTGGCTGGATCTTTGTAACGATCTGAAAGCCGCTGTTTGAAAGGGTTTCGGTGTTTTCTGCCTGTGCACCTGTACCACCCAACCCTTCGGGTTGTAACTCTACAATTAGAATTTAAAACAGACATTTCAGAAGTAAGCAGAGTGATTATTTATCGTAAAAGCTTTGGGCGCAGCTCAGAGGCTGATGAAGAGATGAGTAGCAGAGGGTCTCGCACCCAGGACCCCCAGGTGAGGCCTGGCTAGTAATTGTCTAATTAACACTGAACACTGATTTGCTTGTTGCTTTGTGCAGAACATAATCATAGACTACGCGGGGCGGCGGCTGCTGCTCCTGGGGGGCTACAGCTCCATGGCAGGATGGGCCATTGTCTTCATGGTGGCCCTAAGCCAGCAGGTAACCAACTTCCCTTGGTTTGGGGGGCAAAGGAGCCTGGGGGGCTCCTTTGGGGGGCTTGGGGGGCTGGGAGCTGGGGGGAACCAAGGGGCTGCGAGTGTCCCGCTCATCTCGCCCTGCTCTCTGTGGCTGCAGGCTCGCATTAGCTGGATGCCCTATCTCAGCGTGATCTGCATCTTCGCCTACATCCTGAGCTTTGGAATTGGGCCAGGTCAGTTCCTGGTGCGTCCGCATCGAGCTCACGGGTGCTGCTGGGGTTGGACATGTGTAATCCGGTCTCCCAGGCTGATCCTGGTGAGAATAATGCGGATTACAAAACGTTCCCTAGAAGGTCATTCTAATAAGAGAGAGTTTGCACAAATCGCCAGCTCCTGATAGTGACCTAAAACCTCCCCATTGCAGTTAAGTTCTATTACCACTTGTTCTGGCCTTGTTCTGTAGTGAGACTAACTCCCTGCAAACTGCTCCATGTTCTCATATGCTTCCATACAAGGTCTTGCTTGCTAGTCTTTAACATAATATTGACAATAGAATTAATTTCCTCTCCATTTCTTTTTCCAGCTGGTGTAACAGGAGTTCTGCCCACAGAAGTTTTTGATCAAATGTCCCGGCCAGCTGCTTATGTGATCTGTGGCTCTCTGCTCTGGTTCAATCTGTTCCTGGTCGGCACAGCCTTTCCCTTCATCGTGGTGGGTTCTCAAGGCAACGTAGTCAGCTCTAATTCTTTAGTATTTTATCTGATAGAGACTGGGACACTGTCAAGGAAAGGAGACAGGCCCTGGGGAGCTGGGAAGCAGATGCACAGCAAGACAGCACTGCCCTGAAAATCACCCTTTATGGGGAAAGTGGGCAGGAACTCCTCTAAACCATACCTCCCCTGCATTCCCTATAGCGATTTCTTAGGGGAGGCTGGACTCACATCAATGTGGGGCTCTAATGGCCAATATTCCTGCTCTGTCCTCAGCTGAGCACGGCTAGGAGCAGAGCTGAGGCGTAATCTCCCCTGGCCAGACTCCGCACTATTCCCTAAGGCGTCTCCTGCAGTGAAAGGAACCAAATCTCCATGATGTGCTCCTGCCCTGTCTCCTACAGCGAGTCCCCTTTCTGTACCCTTATGTGAACAGAAAAAGACATTTTGAGACACTTTCCTTGCTGTATCAAAAGACGAGGCATGCTGGGGAATGGCTGCATGCAGGTGCGCAAGACCCTCACCAGTAAATACAAAATATTGCCCGGGTAAATTTATTCCATGTCAGAAAGAGGTTTAATGGCCTGTCTGTCACATTACAGAACGGCTCCAACACTGTCTTGTTATTCTTCCCCCACAGAAAACTCTAGCACATTTCTGCTACGTCCCGTTCTTTCTGGTCTGCATCTGCACTGCGCTCTATGTTGGCTTCTTCCTTCCTGAGACAAAGGGAAAGTCCTTCCTGGAAATCTCGGAGGAGTTCAAGAAACGGAATTTCAAATCTCACGCCCATGCATTTCCCTACAAAGGCCCTGAGGAGATCAAGTCCACTGTGTTGTAGCAGGAGGCAGAAAGGACAAAGAGAGGAAGGTGGCATCTGCAGGACGTTTAGCAGTGGTTCTATTCTCTTGCGTGGGCACAAAGAGGTGATTGGGTTAATGAGAGCACTTTAATCCAGTTATATATATTACTACATACATAGAATAATATAGAGATATGTAGTAATATATAGAATATACCTATTTTATGCATGTGTGTCTATAATATGTATTACTACATAGTAATATAGAGAAGATATTACTCTGGCTTCACATTACATTTATACCACTGGTATAAAAAATATATTATGAAAACTTGTGAGCCACCTTTTGGCTGCTGAATTCTGTTACATCCACAAATCATTTATGTTCTTGGGACACAGCCTGAGAATTTTCCCAACGCTCAGAAGCCAGATACAGGGAATTGCAACATGAAGTATCTGCCTCCCGCCAGTGCTGAACGTCCAGGCTGCCGAGCAGCTGATTCTGGTCTGGGGTTCTGGATTTAGGCACCAACATTTGAAATTTGCTCCCACATGCTTAGATTTCTAAGAACGGCTTAAAAAAACATTTAAAAAAATGTATGAAAATGCCCTCTTCTCACTCTGAAACTAAAAAGTAATTATGGATAAATGTGTGCACCCACTATAGGATCCAGCGTGAGCAGCCTAGATTTATGAGCCTGCCAGAAAGTCACAGCCCACCGAGATCTCTGAGGTACACAGCTGTGCTGCCGAAGTCATATCGACAGCTATAGACAAGTATATTGTGATATACTTCAACTGATAAATCCCAACAAAAGCTTAACAATCTGCAATATCTGCAATAAGCAACATATATCTATATGAGAATCCTTATTTAAAGAGTGACAGTGATGCCTTATCTTAACTTCAAACAACACCATACACTAGCAAATTTCTTCCACGTTACTCCTCCACCCAAGCAGTAATTCTCACCTCCAAAATCTTTCTTTCCTTGCCCTAAGTCTGGGCTCTCCAACACTGAGATTAATACGATTATGTTGTGTTTTCAGACACCACATGAAATTCTGAGTACCTTGTCTCAGTGCTCCTGTTGTTTCTGTTAACAAGTGATTTCAAATAAACTCCTACTTGTTGAGCAATATTGAGCAGTTAATTATTTTCAGCTGTAAAAAAAACACGTGACAGAAGGATTAGGAAGAAAAGCTTTTGGTACTTGCTAAGTGGCTTATTATACAACTGATATTTGGGCATTGTTTGGGGGACTATTCATTCTAGACTGGTTTTCTTCATGGCTTTTTAGCTGTGATTTGGGTCTGTGTTGTAAAGCACATGCAATCCTCTAGTGCTGCTTGTGCTGTTGATGCATCTCGTAGGGAGTAGCACCTCCTGGGCCCCCGTGCTCTGCTACAGGATGGGGAGGAGGCATCAAAAGCTTCTGGTCCTCCAGCACCTGCCCCCTGTGCACGCGGGGCTGGACGAGCAGCTTCCTCCTTCCTCACGGGCAGCAGGACCTCCAGGGGCCATCGGAAGCTGATCTCCATCCCTGTGACTTCCAGCTGCTCCTTGCTCCCTTCTCCACCCCGAGCCGCCCCGGCGACTTGGCCAATTGTCCCAGTTTGGGGTCATTTTCCAGCCACAGTCTGTGGCTCTAGATCAGCTGCACGGAGCGAACTTGCTGGAGTAGAGGCTGCTCTCGCAGGCTGTGGGGCTAGCACTGAAATGGCCCTACATCAGATCATTTGGCCCACACCACGGATGTCTCTTTGGCTCTTTGGCAGGTTTTTAAGGCAATCTCTCATTCAAAGGCTGAAGTGATGCTGTCCATCTTCTTTCTGTCCTAATGCGTTCTTCAGACTGCTGCACATTTATCCATGCCTCAAACAGCTAGGGAAATGCTCATTCTCTGTCCCAGGGCCATAAAAGCCAGGCAGAAGGTGCATGTTGGCCCTGCACGTAGAGGCATCCCCACATGCACAGCCACCTCCCGCCCAGCTCACTGCTTTTTGGTGCCAATTTGTACCATTTCGTTGCTCTGGGCTGTCTGAGGAGAGCAGGGGCTCACGGGGACAGCAAATTGTCCCCATTTCTAAAGAAACTTTTGTTTGCTGAGTGCTGCATGGTTTTCAGTGCGACTCCTCCTGCAGCTCTGCCTGTTGTCTAGGTTTCAATCATTAGCTTGTGAGCACCAAGGTACCAAACGCCCTGGAATTCTAGATCTGCAGTTTTGGACACACACAGGCTCCTTCTTTACCTGCCAGCACTGCCTCCTATCTGTAATGGTGGAATAGGGGACAAAGAGACAAAGCATTTGCGGTGATTTCTCTTGAGGTGCTTCAAAAGGCCTTTCACGATGGTCTCTGAGCATCAGATTTCAAGTGCTCTGGTCAAAGTATCCCAAGTAAACCTGTTTTCCTTACAATGCATGAAATGTAAGCAGTAATGAAACGATCCAGAGGCATGTCTGGCTCTCCATGTGCCAAGACTGGGTAGCTCCTTATGCCAGCAGCTTATTTTAGACGTGCAGATTTAGATTCCAGTAAAATGTTCCTCTCCGCAACATGTTCCAAGCTGTCTTCATAAAACATATTGCAAAATATCCAGGCATGATACTGATCCTTTTTAGTCCACCTGGGGCAAAAGAGGCCAGAGCTCCTCATCTAATGTTGCCTTTCACAGATATTTTGAGACTACATGACCAAGAGCAGGGCTCCATGGAACTGGGAAGTTTAGAAATACTTGGAGAGGACAGTGAGGGGCAGATATAAAGAGTAACACATACAGGTAAAGAGAAGTGCTGGCACCATCACTACAGTTCCTTCACTGAGGATCAGAAAGGAGGTGAGACACAAGTGAAGTGATGAAGACAAGGCAGTACAGAAGGGTCAGGGTAAGAGGCTGGGTTGAAGGTTGAAGGTTGAAGTCCTCCAGTGTCCAGAGGTCCTTATCCCAGGCCACCTCTAAGGCAGCTCCTCAGGTCCCAGATGGATGGAGACCTTCCTCAGGTCCCAGATGGATAGAGACCTGCTGCAGTTGGCAATGGGAAGGTTGGTCAGGACTCACATCCATATTCCTTCATGCTCTGGGTATCCAACCCCATCCTGCAGTGCATATGTCCAAAAACACTAATTCCAACTTCCATGACAATGGCCCGAAATCAGGCGCCTTTGAACTGACAAAACGCAGACAGTGGTTACATTTTAATTGGTCTAACTGGTTACATTTTAATTGTCACCTTTAACAAGTTGGTTAATTGTTACAGAATTAAAAAACCTTCAAAACACCTTCAAAAACTTTTTTTTAAAAGTCACTTGTTTAGGCCAATTTTCTTAATCTGTGCTAGGCACCACTAGCTCTTCAAAAGGAAGGTGATTCCCCCCAGAATGCAGAGGGAAGCCTGTAACAACAATATTGTTTAAATTGAAGAGCATTTCACCATCTCTTGCCTCAGTTATGCTCAGCAAGGTGTGGTTTAAGCTATGGGAGCATTTACTGCACTGAGGCTCCAAGTGGGAGTCCAGCACTTTTGCGCTAAATGTGCTGATGACCAAGCCATGTCCTGGGGAGCCTAAGCCAGTATGAGCCAGGCCTTGGACTTCAGCTTCCATCAATGTCCTTCTTCTTGTCCTTTACTCATCTCCCGCAGCTCTCACCCTCCGTTGGCTGTTTCTAATCACCTCTCTTCCATGGTGACCTGGCATGAATGTACAACCAACCCAAAGTATCCACCGCTTCATCAGTAACCAACATCATGACAAACCAAAGAGCAAGAGCTGCAGGACAAACCAATGAGAGCACGAAGGCCGAGCGAGAAGGAAATGACGTGTTGAAATCCTGTCTCTCTATATATAGAGTGACTTCTTCCCAAGTGTCCAAAGGAAGCGTCATGAGAGATCTAGCCTGCAAGTTGAGAGGGCTGCCTTTCCATGCACGCTGGTATATACATTTCTCTTTTTTCTCTCTCCCAAATAGGAGTTTTTGCAGCACAGATTTTTCTCTTTTCTAATATTCTAAAAGACCTGCTGCATAAATTTTGTAGACAAAGAAAATTAATGAATGAGATGGCATCAATAATAATATGAGGCCAATCAGAAGTGGTCGTATAATAAGAGGTGTAAGAGAGATAGCAAATATTTCAGAGAATTATTTCTAAAAAGCAGTGAAAATGGATTTAAGAGCGCTTTTATATTTACTTTCTGATACATTGCAGAGGAAGACAAACTCCTCAGGTGAGGAGTTTTGCTGCTGGTATAAAACACAGTTTGAGTTTACAGGGAGACTTACTCAGCTGCTGGAGACGAGCGTCCTGTGCCACTTTCTGTGGCGTGAAGGATGGCAGAATTTACAGATCCTTCTGCAAGAAGGAAGGATCCTTCTAGTAGTAGAAGGATTTGCAGCTGACAGCACAGGCTGCAAATCTCATTTTTTCCTAGTGCTTTGACAAAAAGGAGTTGATCATCATTTACTATATGAACATACATATAGTATGTACACCCAGCTCATTCACAGCGGGCTCCTCTGAGCTCAGCAATGCTCCAACACGGGTGAATTTGCCAGTCCTTGTTCGGCCGGCGTCGCTGCGCTGTTGCAGGATGCAGGATCACTAGGACACTCAGCAACAAGCAGGGAGCCCTTTGAGGGGCAGGGATGCACTACACAGGTCTGGGAGAAATATATTTGGGGCAAAGTCTCCAGAGAGAACAGTTCTAAGAAAGGGTGTATGACCTGCGAAACCAGGAATGTCCTTCAAACCTCAACTGCTTGTCCAGTCTCAGCCAAGTCACAGTGCAAAACAGCCAAGTTAGACAACAAGTGGGCAAGGAGGAGGGATAAACAGATGGACAGCGTGCACATGATGCCTGCACATTGCCCCATGCTGCCGGGCTAGTGACCTGGGACAGCACAGGGTCAGATGCTCCAAGCCAAAGCCAGAAGCACTCACGTGTGTCACGGGGATCTGCTAGACAGCTTGGTCTCTCCTTCCCACAAACTCCTCCCTGCCCTGTGCTTTAGCAGCCACACTTTGTGCACTGTCTGCTCAGTCCTGGATGAAGCAGGTGTGTGGTGTTCCCAAGCCACAAGAGCTCCCGCAGGAAAACCAGGAGGACACTTTGGGACGTGCCTGAATATCTGCCCCAGCTCCATTTGTTGTTGTTTCTCTCTGCCAGAAAATGAGCTGCAACCTCTTCCTCTTGGCTTTGGTCCTGGGCATTGGTGGAACTTTCCATTATGGGTTACAGGTTTCCATTATCAATTCTCCTGCCGAGGTAAGCATGGACAACTCCTAAAATGAGCTCCCAGCATGGATTTCAATGTCTTCCCAATGTCTTCCTGCCTCTCTATGCACCCAGACAGCTTTGTGCTTCTCCTCTCAGTATTAACTCTTTGTGCTTTCTTCATTCTCACATTAACTCCTGTCATTTTGTGTTTCGTTGATTTTTAACTTCCATCTGCCTAGTGCCACAAAATTGGGAAAGGGGAGAATCTACCAAACACAAGATCAAGTTGCCACTCACTCAGTGATACTCATAATTGATATTTAATACTGATATTTACTGTGGTCTGCTGCACCTTGTTGTTAAAACGTTGACTCCAGGAATGCAAGTGCCAAAATTGCTTTTGATTTCACTGGGGCTAAGATTTCAATAAAGGTGTCAATAGAAATGTACCAAACAAGACAAGTAGGTAAGAAAAGTGAAAAAGACTGCAATTATGAGAAACATGTTGACCAAGTTCACTGATTCCTATTTTTCTTTCAAAGTACATCAAAAGTTTCATCCATGAGACCTGGCTGAAAAGATACGGCTCTTCTCCCAGTGAAGAGATAATTACTTTGATGTGGTCCTTCATCGTGTCCATTTACAGCATCGGTGGGCTCCTGGGATCCATGCTTGCTGGATACTTCCTAGTCAGGTTTGGAAGGTAGGAATAACCATCATGTTACTCTCTCTGCACCTGCAAAAGCAGTGTAAAGTGGCAGCGCTGGCAGCCCAGAGCTGCCAGCAGCAGAACAGTGAAGACTGCTAAAAATCAGAACAAGAATCATGCCCTGGCCCTTGTAAATTCCAAAGGAAAGGCAGTCCAGAGAAATCACTGGAACCTTAGGTGCATTTTTAAGTGAATTTCACAAAAAACAGTTCACGAAGTTGCTCTCCAGTGTAGTTAGCAGCTCCAACAGACTACATGCAAAGGCACTGGAGGCATCAAAAGCTCCCAGAGCTTCTCAGTCCACAGCAGACCGTCCCCATTCCCATTCCCCTCTGCATCACCGTGGCTGAACCCTCAATCTGGCACCAAGTCCTCAACCATGGGACGTCCCGTGCCCTTCTGTGGGGCAATCGGTGCTTTATGCCCGCAGGAAGAAGGCGATGCTGCTCACCAACATCCCCGCCCTGCTGAGCTCGGCGCTCCTGGGCCTCAGCCGCCTCTGCGGATCCTTTGAGATGATCATCATTGGGAGAATGGTCTCCGGAGTCACCGCGGGCATGGCTCTGAACATCCACGTCCCCTATGCTGGGGAATGTGCCCCTCAGAGGCTGCGTGGGGCCATTGCCATCACGGCTTCCACGGCCATCGCCATCGGGAAGTTTGTGGGATTTGCTCTGGGGCTCAGGTAAGGCTTCTTACTAAGGACAGGCGTATCTCAATGCACGGGCAACTCTGCAATCTTCTTTAGATGTGTGCTTAAGGTGCTCACAGTCTCCTAGGCAGCCAGGCTGAATCAGCTAAGTCTAAATTCTTGGCTTAGGTAAATGGGAGGCAGAAAAACCTTTAATCCCAAAGACCTATATTGCTTCCCATCAAAGGCAGAACAAAATAGAGATGAAAGCCTTTTCATTAGATTTGGTGGGTTTGAAACAAAACCAGCTTTTGAGAACTGAGCTTTATATTTTACTATTTAGAAGAAATGGAGAATGTCAGACATCCCTTTTTCTTTAAATGCACACAAATCAGCACACCCCCACATTAGACACACAGGCAAATACAGAGCCATACGGGGGCTTCCCTCCCCTCAGCACGTGCTCCTTCTGCCTGCCCTACACCAAGGATCCCCCACCCCACGGTCCCTTCTTTTCCCAGGGGACATTTCATTCCTGTCACAGCGAACGTGAAGTTCCACCAGCCCCAGCAGCTGCCACCCAGGTCAGTGGATGCCAAGCTGCTAACCCCTGGATCCCGTCCTCGCTGTAACCGGAGACGTTTTGGATCCGAAGCAGAGAGATCAGCCACTCCGGGTGCTTTCTTTAGCACATGTGTCATGACTCTTGCTGTTCTCAGCTGTTACTGGAGGTTGCAATCAGTCTGCTCCGTTGCAGTGCTCTGCTCTCCTCACTGGGCAGCAGGGGAACATGGTGCAATCCCCACGTCACTGCTGTGTCATCGGCAGCAGCGCTCACCTCCCTTTATCCTCCCTTGGGGATTCTGGATTTCTTTGGCTGGGAAAAGCTGGGCCCTTGCAGGTGACAGCTGCCAGGCCACACAGCAGGGCCAAGGGACCCTCTGTTTGCAGGTCCTGGCATGGCCAGATCTTAAATTTCTCAGCTTCTCCCATCGGCCGGTCTCGTTTCAGAGAAGCCCTCGGGGTGGATGCTCTCTGGCCTGTTCTCATGGCAGCCAACGCACTCCCTGCCCTCATCCAGCTTCTCACACTCCCGTTCTTCCCAGATTCCCCCCGCTACCTGCTCATTGACAAGAAGGACAAAGAGGGGTGCATCAAAGGTAAGGAATGGGTCACGTAGCACTCATTTCAGCAGAAATTTTCTAGAAACTGGAAAATACCATAACAAAGTCCTGCGTAAGCCCACAAGAGATGTGCAGTTGGGAAATTCTGGCCTTTGAGCTTGAAAGCACCTTCAGCTTTGCCTGCAGAAGGTCTATTCTGCCTTGATTCTCATGTTCCCTTGGCACTAATATTTCTCTTATCTTCTGCCAGACTCGTGTAGGGTCCATGATCACAGAGCTTGCATTTTCCTCAGCACACACTGGGTACAGTGTATTCTGATCACAAGAAAGAGATGCTCTTTGTGGTCATGCCATATCACCATAAGGAGCTATTGGCCATTGGTCATGTTGTAATTAAGATTTATGGATAAAAATCAATGGGAATGAACTGGTCTACACCCAAGGGTCTACACTGAAGCCTATGCATGAGGAAAGAGTCTGAAGTTGAAATGAGAACCACTTTTCAAGGCAGGACACCATCCTCCGAACTAGTGTCCGGGCTGCTGTGCTGGGGTGATGGGTCATGTCCCTCTCTCTCCTGCAGCCGTGAAGCAGCTCTGGGGAGATGGTGACCACACAGCGGAGATAGATGACATGATGGCAGAGCAGAAAGCCATCAACGGGGAGAAGGCGAAGAGCCTCTGTGATCTGTTCCGGGACAGGGCTGTCCGCTGGCAGCTCATCACTCTCTTCCTCGTCTCCTCGTGTATGCAGCTGATTGGAGTCAACGTGGTACGTGCCCGTTTCTCTCTGCTTTCTGCACTGCTTGCAGTTTGCTTGGCAAAAAGCGAGCTCTGCTATCTCTGTAAAGAAGAGTGTAGCCTCCTCAGAGAGGCCGAACTCCAAAATGCAGTGACGGGAATTCGTTGCTATTCCAGCACAAACTGAGTCTGTTTGGCTGTGTGCAGTGGCAGAATGTTTCTATACTCTTTTCTTGATTTGGTTTCTTAAAATATTCTCTAGTTTTGCATTTTTCTCAGCTTACAATGCTTGGTCTGGAGAGAGTTAAAACATCCCAGGAATGCTTTTCACAGTTACTCTCTAATACACCTTTTTTCTAGGAAAAAAATTCCATATATCTCTATATTGCAATAGTTATTATATAAAATGAGATTATACAAAAAGCATTCAAGTTTCAAATTCCAAATAAATTTTACTAATTCAGAAAGATCTGAAGATTTACAAAACTCCTTTTTTATCCCCACTAGTGCAGCAGTATTATGTCAAGAAGGACAAGTAGAAATTCCTCGCTGGAGCAGGAGGTTGGACTAGATCTTTAGAGCTCCCTTCCAGCCTTAATGATTCTATGATGATTCTGTGAAATTTAGCATATTCACATCTTATGCTTTAGGTATTTATATCTGGAAAAAAAAGACCATCAAAACACAAGAGGATTTTAAAGATTATGCAGAAGGATTGTTTAACCCATTTGCTTAGTACATGCTGCTTTATCTCTGCATGTTCCTCACCCTGAACAAGTACAGGAGACATCAGTAAAAGCTCTTCTGCTTAAATGATCTTCATGAGGACACTGACAATAGTTACTGGGACCAAGGAGAAGATTTTCTCACTTGTTAAGATCTGAGTAGCTGTTTTCTGGCAACAAAGGGTAAAGCTACCCTACCCTGTAAAAGCGAGTGTAAAAATGACCACAGGGGTGCAACCTTCACCCGCTTCTGTTCTCTCCAGGTTTACTTCTATGCCTACAATGTCTTCATAACAGCTGGAATCCCCCCTGCACAAACCCGCTACGTCTCCCTGGGAGTCGGGATCACTGAGATCTTCACCACCGTCCTCTGTGTAAGTGACTTTTCAGCAGAGCCTCTTTCAATATATGTTCCATTCCAATCAAACTCGCACAGAAAATAAGAAAATAAGAAAATAACAGCAGTACTCCGCATTTCTCACATAAAAATGTCTCCACGCACTCTGCAGACATGAGCATTTTTATGCACTTGATGGAACAGGAGAGCTTTTCCCTTAAAGTCGTGTAGCGAATTGGCAGCCTGAGACCCCTTTGGGGACCCCCACCCCTTTCTGTGCAAACGAGAGTGGCCGCGTGTGCTGGGCTGCAGGGTTCATGGCAATGAAGAGCCCTTGGATACTCCACTCTCCCCTCCAGCTCTACCCCTGGCCCAGCTGCCCAGAGATGCCCAGTGACGGCCGCGATGGGGGCAGCTCAGGAGCTTCTTTCCAGCCTGTCCTGGGGCTGACAAGTGGCCCTCTTGGTTTCAGGGTTTCCTAATCGAACGTGCGGGGAGGAAGGTGCTGCTGTGGAAAAGCTACACAGTTATGTCCTTGGCTTTAGGGCTCCTCACCGTCACACTTTCACTGCAGGTAAGACCCCACCTGTGCATGTGAGTGGCACCACTTCGTGTTTTACTCTATGGCTGATACCACTTCCAATCCCCCAAATCACCTCTCAGCTGGGACAGAAGTTTTATTTTCTAACCATCGTACTGAGAGGGGCTGCTCCCAGCCATATACACGCAGACAAAAGCCAAAAGACACCAAACCTCCTTGTGAAGTTTTGGGAGATGGATGATACAGATGTGCATTTAGCATTTAAGTGTTCAGCAATGCTGAAGACTGACCCTGTTTCTAATCAAACTATATGAAAAAAAAAATTAATTTCTGATCTTATTTGCTTGTGATTGCCACCACAGGACTCCTTCCCCTGGGTTCCATACTGCTCTGTTGCACTCATCTTTACCTTCATCATGAGCTTTGGCATTGTAGGTAGGTATTTCATACTGGAGCAGTTCCCTACACCCCTTCCTCCTCACAGCAGCTTTTAGGAGAGATCCCAAGCCCAGCTGCTCCATAGTCAGCGCAAATCCACACTCCTGTGTCCGTGTGGGGCGGCAGCCATTCCTATTTGTAGACTATCCCAGATTGTGGTAGGAGGTAAAACTCCATTTCACACACATTCCTACCTGCCTTCATCCCTCAAAACCAAGCATCACCTCAAATACTTCCCAGGCAGTTAAAACCATCAGCTTCCATAGAAATATCAAACATTCAGATACAGAGGAATCTTTCAAACATTCTAAATTTTCCTTTTTTTCTCTTTCAGCTGGGGTGATATGCCCCTTGCCCACAGAAATATTTATTCAGTCATATCGACCGGCTGCTTACGTTTTAACTGGTATCACAAACTGGATCCAACTCTTCTTCCTTGGGCTTGTGTTCCCTTTTATCGTGGTAAGCAAAGCAGGACGTTTTGTTTCGGTCTGGGGAGGAGCAAAGGCCCATCTGGAATCTTGGAGCTGCCTCTTTCCCTGTTTCAACACTTCATGCAAAGGACTCAGCTCAAATTAATTGCATTCAGTTCTGATATCTTTTTTTTTTTTCTATCTGCCTAGATATCTAACCAAGTCTGGCAAAAAAACCCCCACAAATGTCACTAAATCTGCACAGCTAGAGAGTGACTGGGAAACATGGAAGGGGTAACTCAGGCACCAACATTGCAGAAGTCATTCGAGCCTCTTTAGAGCTTCCCTTCTTTTCCCTCCCTGCATCACCTTTGGGATTAATGTGCAAAATGGACACATTCGTACTTTTCCATGCATCTCATCCATTGCTAGGAAGCAGAAGGGAAGCTGAAACCCTCACAGTTGTGGGGCTGTGGAAGGAGGGACAAGGTTAATGCTCTACATCCCCTCCCAATTCCAGCCCTGACCGAGAAGGATGGAGCAGAAAGGGAGAGCAACAGGAATGTAGCTGGGAATGTCTCCGATCAGCTGAGCACTGCGCACAGTGTCTGCTGAGCGCGCTGCTTTCCCCACTGAAGCAGGAAAGGAGAATTAGTCCAGCTTAACACTGAGCACCATTCCCCAGGTGGTAGCAAGCAGGACTTACGTCAGTTGAGGCTCGGGCCAGGCTTTTCAATAAATACCGAACCAGGACCTCCATAGCACCGAAGGAAGCACAATACAATTTGTATGAAACAATCTTTTTTTTTCTGTTTCTTCTCCTGTAGGAAGGTCTTGGTAGCTTCTGCTTCATCATTTTCTTCGCATACTGCCTGTCCATGGCTGTCTTTGTCTACCTGGTGATGCCAGAGACCAAAGGCAAGACTATGCTGCAGATCATGGAGGATTTCAACCGGCTCAACTACCGTGGGAAGCGGAGGCCGTCGGCCCTGAGGCAGAACGACAGCTCCATGACGGTCGCTACAAGGCTGTAACAAGGAACCCTCTGCTCTTGGACTGATTCTTTTCTCTTGCAATAAGAATCTTGCCCAGAAGCCTCATTATGCAAAAGAGATTCTGTTGGCCCACACGCGGCAAAAATCTGTATTACAAAATAGTGACTACTGTGCAGGGCACAGAATGAGCCTGGGACCTCTCTCCAACTTCTGAAATTTGAGCCAAGTGAAATCCCTTGCAGAAATAACAAAAATAAAGATACACGGTGTGCAAAGAAACAAGATGTTTATCAGCTCCTGCAACTTAGCAGCTGTCTAGACAGAAAGCAAAGGACCTGCTGCTGTTCCCAAGAAGATGATGACGACAAGTGCTGTGCCTGCCAGGAGACATGATCCCTATGCAGTATTTCCCCCTCTCCCACGTAAACTTGTGGGCAAGCACGTGGTATTGGAGCAAGCAGGAATTTCTTGGGCTGCTTGTGATCAGATTTCTGCGAGCTGCAGTGTGGTCTTATCAAGCTGGTGCCATTCAACTGTTTTTTGGATGGAAGTCACTGCTGCATCTGAAGAAAATGGTGCAAAGGAGGCATAAAGACCTGGTAGAAAGCAGACACATAAAGGAGACACGGGGAAGCATCCAAGCAAAACCTGCCACTTCGAGCCAAGCCTCCTGCTTGGTAACCAGGTACCTTGTCCAGCTTTTTGAGATTCTTCCACTTGGTTCAGCAGGGCCATGCCAGCCCTGAAAGCAGGCACAGCTGTAGGGACTGCAGAGCACGAGGGAGTTGCAGAGATGCACGAGTGGGCTAACCCACAGCGGGTAGCTTTCCCTTCATCATTAACACGACTATTTAACATACCTCCTGTTTCCTGTTTGATGGGGAGACAGGAACACTGGGTTTCTGTGGGGTTTGGTTCCCAGGACCTGCTGGTACTGATAAGACCAAAAAACCTCACGCCTCTCCTGGGGAACCCAGTCTGAATGGCTGAGTGTTGATTGGCCCTCGGGTTCTCCAGATACTCCATGTGTTTGGAGCCTCACTTTTTTGTCTACACTGCTCTACAGTGTGACACTCTCTGTCACATTTTGCAATTTACTGAAAAGAAATAAAAAAAAGCAGTGGCTAGAAAAACACATCTTAGTGATCACGCCTGGATTGAAGAGTCAGGGATGGAGAACAACCCAGTTTCTGGGAGTGTGTTGTCCAGGCCAAGGAATTCTGCATTTGTCTTGTTCTGGAAATGAGACCTCAGCAACAAACCACTGTAGATGCTGCACAATGCAATAAAATTTGGAAAAAAAAAATAAGTGTGAATGTTGGGTGGCAGTTTCTTTGGCAGCCCCAGGGCTCCTTTTGTTTTATCTTTACATCATGAAGCTAATGTTGCCTGTAGCAGTGCCAAGAGAGGCAATTCAGGGCTGGTGACCATGGCTTGCCCAGCACACAGCAACAACTAACATATATTCTTTGCCCCGTTACAAAAAGCAGGACAGGAGAGGGGTGGGGAGAGGGAGGACAGAGAACAACCATGTAAGGCATTTTGAAAAGAAAGGATTAATTAAGGCTTTCTTTATTAAAACAGCCTTTGCTAGGAACCTCACCGTCTCCTATAGATGAATTTTTCAAAGTCCTAAAATACACTAAAAAGCTAAGAAGGTTTCCTATGAGAGATCAGTGCCTGTCTCTCTGATCCAGTGTCTTTCCTCGCTGGCTCCCATGAAATCATGCACCAGCTTTCATGCTGACTCATATCCTTATCCCTGTGTTTCTACAGCATGGTCTTGTTGAGCACGCTTGACTTCTTGCCTCCTTCTCCCCTACCAGGAAATATTGTCTGTTAGTGGGGAAACATTATAAATCATTAACACTGCCACAAACTAGAGTGGATTTGGGATACAAGTTAAATGAGGATTCGTGAATCTGCAGGGCATCCATTTGCTGTCCCAGATTACACAAGTACGGCCCATGGCATCTTTGAAAACTTAACCCCTCAACTCAATGCTGAGGGCATTGAGCTATGTGCTGGGTCCGGAATAAGCACATTTTTTGGTAGGGTTCAGCTCCTAAGTGGGAAGACTCATTCTTTCATTTTCTTTAGGAAATTAAAGGAGAATTCTACTAAGCACTTCAGCTCTTGAGTGCCAGGACTGGGCATCACTGGAGCCTGGGCACACCTACGAGTGAAAGATCCACTGCACACTCAGCTCTTTGTTATGTTTTTGCCTGCAACAGCTGTTTGGTCCTGCTAGATCTGGGATACTCTGGTGGACAGAGCTCTGGCCTGATCCTGCCCCGCTGTTCCTGGCACATGAGACCTTTACCCCCAAGAGGGGAGTTTGGTTGAGCTCGTCTCCCTTACAGCAACATCTGTATCTGAGGGGAAGGCTAATGCTGAAGCCCTTGGAGACTGGGAGGCAGATTTTGTAAGAAGCAAGAGAAAACCTAAATAAGGACAGGGCTTTTTGCAGTAGTAGTTGCAGAGGAAGGTGGATTTGGAGCTGTTTTAGAAGAAGTTAGAACACAGGAGATGGGCTGAAAGAGGAAGGAATTAAATATGTCACTACAAATGACGTGGAGCTGATGAGAATTTTAGGAAGGATGAAGGTGGAAAGAAGAAAAAATCAGCTTTAACTACTTTACTCTCCTGATATGCAATGAGCTAGTGAGACAGGGAATTCGAAACGACTCTTACTGGGCCAGGAGAAAGGCCAAGGTTATTCCTGATTATTGCCAGAGAACTCTTGAGCCAAGCTCCCGCCAGCCGCAGAGCTGTAATCCCTCCTGCCCATTTCCCCTGCTGGCACTAAGCCTCAATAGCTAAATATTTGCAATACAGAGTGAAGTACCTTGTAGCTAATGTAGAACAGAACATTACAGGGTAAAAATTTTTCTAGGAAAGTAAATTTGTAAAATACAGAAGCTCAAAGGAAGCAAGAGTGAACTTACATCTTCTGTATCTAATCAGGCCGTTTAAAATCAATTTTTAAGGATGAAAGAATTCAAAATGAAACCTCAAACCAGAAGAGAATGAGTTTTCCCCTGGCACACACTAGACCATCCCCAGGGATAAGAAGTTCCGTCTCCAGGTGAGGAGGAACTTCTTTACTGTTAGGGTGACAGAGCAGTGGAACAGGCTGCCCAGGGAGGTTGTGGAGTCTCCTACTCTGGAGGTCTTCAAAACCCGCCTGGATGCCGCCCTGTGCCACATGCTCTAGGTGTGCCTGCTTGAGCAGGAAGGTTGGACTAGATGATCTGCAGAGGTCCCTTCCAACCTTAAATATTCTGTGAATCTATTCTGTGAATCTGTGGATAGATGGGTAACACAGAGGCTCCTTGGCAGTGCAGCAAATGGTGAGACCCTCTATCAGGAACTGAGTGATGCCAGGTCTAAGGCTCTTCCCCAGGCCAACTGCTTGTGTTCTGCAACTTGGGAAAATGACAGATCATTCCAAGCAATGTAAAAATCTTACAGCATGCAAATAAACAGGCAATAAAGCTCAACTACTAGATTAACTTTGTAGTGGACAGGAGGAAAACATCTGCTGCCTGAGATGTGTGTCTGTCAAAAAAGGAACCCGCTGCGCCAAGAGGAAGATGACCAGTGTCATCTGACTCTCCACTCCTGTTTCTCAGGGCAGGAGGGGACAGCACAGGGTTTCTCCAGCGACCTCTCCTAAAAAAAAGATAGCCAGGTCTGTTGTAAACTTCAACACCCAAGGCACAGGTAAAAACCTCAGAGCAACGTCACGTTGCTTATGTGAGCATCCAAATATGTCCCTGTAACAAGAATGCTCATTCATTTAGGCAGTGCAAATAAGTGGGGGCCCTCCAGAGGCACAAAGGATAAACATTTACCTACGGTGTAATAGCCTGGCAGATCTGGGCCTTAAAATAATTAAACCATCAAGAAAAATCCCTGGTCAGTGTCGGGCAAAACCATAATTCACTAAAAGCCAAGTAGTTAAAATTTAAACTCTGTGCTATGATCCCAGCTTCTTATAATCAAAGCTTAGAAAACCGATCACTCACCTGACAGACTTGACAAGGGCTCCCGGAGCAGGCAGGTTTTCCAGAGGAAATGGCTGGTTTCCTCTCAGACCTGGTGAGTATCCAACTTCTTGTTTTCTAACCCTAGTTACTAAGAGCAGCACTGGGCACTTGGCCCCCTTTATAGACCGCAGCAAGGGAAGCAGTCTTTGCTTTTATGAAAAATGGGCAAGAGAGCCCTGCTGGGGACAACACTCATCCAGCAGGAAGCGGGAAGTGAGGGATGGAAAGGGAGCTTAGCCCATGTAGGAGATTGGCACTAAGACGGGGAAGGAAAACAGGAGAGCTGGGTATGGTGGGATGCCCCTCTATCGGCCTGCAAGGACAGATTGACTACACAGAGTCTCCAGGAAATGTCAGAAGGACAAAAGAGTGGAAAAAGTTTGAAAGCGGACCTGGGAAACCAAGGAAGAAAAGGCATTTTGATCAGGACAGAGAATAATAGCAAGAGAAAGGCGAAAACTCCCACCCTACCACACTGCACCCGCAGGGGTATTTGAGGATCCTCTTCTCTTTAGAGAGTGACTTGAAAATGCCTGAAAAATTATGTGCTTGTGAAGAATGCTCTGAACTTCAATGTATGTTATGGGAGTACAGCTGGTTTCCTTTCCAAATACGGGTCATTTGAGCATTAGATCTGAATATACCATTTCTCATGGGGATGATAAAAGTGAGACTAAAAATTGTGTTTTTAAGAGGACAGACTTGATTTCTCTCTGAAAATTGGTGAACAAAGACTCAAAAGGGACAAGGTTGAAAGCAAAAAGGAATCCAGAAAGTTACAGGTTCTTACCAGCAAACACAAAAGCAGACACAAATTGTCTGAAAAGGGATTTTATATTTTTTTAACTTCTGTGGGAAACCTAATAGAATTAGCCCTTGGATCCCTCCAATCTGTCAATAACAAGAAGAACACAAAAGAAATCTATAGCTCTGCATCTCTGCCATTTCCCAGCAATTTGATTTATTGAAGAATTCAAGAGGGGTTTT